CTAAGTTATATACTTAGTAAGCTCTTCTTAGAGTTTTTAAAGATATTATTATCTTACTTTAGTTTATATAAATAAAAAAATAAAAAAAAATAAAATTAAAGATTAAATATAGATTAAAACTTAGTTAAAAATAAATTATATAGAGCTAGTTATATATAATCTAATCTTAGAATATTTCTTATATATAGTAAAAACCTTTAAAAAAAAAATAGAAATAAATTAATTTATAATTTTAAAAGTAATTAAATTTTTTTTTTTTATTTCTAAATATATTATTATATAGTATAACTAAGTATATATAAATAGATATTAGATTAATATTAAATCTATATTATTCCTAATAAAAATTTCCTATAGTAGTAAATATATACTATACTTATAGAGGTAAATTAATATATAACTTTAAAAGTAATTAACTTTTTTATTCCTAAATATATATAATTCTAGATTAAACTAAAATAAACTTTAATATACCCTAATCCGAACTATACTATTCTAAAATAGAAAAAGCTTAATTTTAATTAACTCTTAAGAGCTATCTCTACCCTAATTAGTTTAAAGTAGTATAGAATATACTAGAACTATAAAGAAAACCTTAGATTATAATATATATAAATAAGCAGATAGTTATAATTAAGATATAGCTTTTAATCTAGCTATATTTTATCTGCTTTAAGTACTAATAGTATATAGTAACTACAGGCTATATAATATAAGAATAGATCCAGTAGATACAGCTACTGGATCTAGGGTATTATTAGTAGCTTTATTACTATAAGTAAGCCTTTAACTATTTAGAGAGATATATATTAAATATACTTAGTTAAGAGCTATATACTATTATCTCTTATAATCTTTATTATCTTATTAAGGTTTATATTATTTATAATAACTAAAGCCCTATAAGTAGAAATAATTATAGAAGATAATATATTATAAATACTTAGTATTAATAATATAATTAATTAATTAATTAATTAAGATAAGCTTTAAGTTAGAAAGGAAAGGTAGTTATTATTATTAGATAATAAGCTTCCCCCCTTAGGGGCTATAGCTATAGCTGAGCTATTTATATATCTAGCTATATAAATAGCTCCTATTATTAGAGTTTTAAGATATTAATACCTATACCCAGGCTAAAAGTATTTAATTTTAACTTTATCTTATAATATTAAAGGTTTAGATATAGATTACTAATTATATTCTTAGAAAAATTATATAATCTAGTTATATATTACCTAATCTTAGGATATACTCTTATTTATAGTAAAACTAATAAAATTTTTTTTTTCTAAATATATATAATTCTAAATTAAATTAAAATAAACTTTAATATATTAATACTAAGTTTAATTTAATCTAATTAATATTCTAATCTAAATATAATTAAAAATAATATAAAGTTTAAATAATTAATTTTAAAAACTATTTTTATTCTTATTAATTTAATATAGTATATAATATATTAAAACTATAAATTATATATTAAATTATAGTAAATTTATATAAAAGAATAGTTATTTTTAAAATATAATATTTATTTAAATTAATCTTAATTTTCTATAAGTATTTATAATAGTTACTAGTAATAAATTATATAATAAAATAATAATTTAAATAGATATAACTACTAGATTTATATTATTAAAAGTAGTTTTATTACTATAAGTAGATTTTTAATTAATTAAAAAAATATATAATAAATATAATTAGTAAATAGCTATATTAAATTATTTTAAATAATAATTATTATTACTTTAAAAATCTTATTAATAATATTAAATAAACTCTAAAAAATTAGAATATTTATATTAAATATTATAATTATTTAAAATATCTAGTAATTAATTAATAATATAATTTAATTAATTAATTAATTAAAATAAGTTTTAATAGAAAGAAAAAATAATTATTATTATTAAATAATAAGTTTTCCTCTTAGGAGTTATAATTATAATTAAACTATTTATATATCTAGCTATATAAATAGCTCTTATTATTAGAGTTTTTAAAATATTAATATCTATATTTAAACTAAAAATATTTAATTTTAACTTTATTTTATAATATTAAAGATTTAAATATAAATTACTAATTATATTCTTAAAAAGTATATATTAAATTATATATTATCTAATCTTAGAATATATTTTTATTTATAATAAAACTAATAAAAAAATATTAAAAATATTTATTATTATTATAAGAAAAAATAATTAGTAATTAATAATAATAAACTTAAAGAGATATTATAATTAATTATAAATAATAAATATTCTCTTTTAGAATTTATATTTAATTTATATATTTAATAAGCTCTTTTTAGAGTTTTTAAAAAAGTTATTATTTTATTTTAATTTATATAAATAAAAAAATAAAAAAAATAAAATTAAAGATTAAATATAAATTAAAACTTAGTTAAAAATAAATTATATAGATCTAATTATATATAATCTAATCTTAAGATATTCTTTATATATAGTAAAAATCTTAAAAAAAAAATTAAAAAAAATTATAAATATTATTAGTTTTTATATAGATAGAATTATTATATCTATTATTAAATTATTAAATAGTTTTTATAGTATTTTTTCTAAAGAATACTAATTTAGTATTCTAATTTAAAATTAAATTTTCTATTTTATATTAGTAATAAATATATAACTTATAGTATTTAGTTTTAATTTTATTCCTAATAAATAAATATTATTCTTATTCTTCTTTTATTTTTAGAATATATTTATTATTATAATAAAATATATATTTATACTTAATAGAAGATCTATATTTCTCTAAAATAGTTTTCTTATTTTTATATTTTTATTTAAGTTTATTAAAGATATTTTTAATATATTCTTAGTTTTCTTCTAATATTTTTTAATTCTATTATTTATCTAATTCTAATATCTTTTAAAAAGCTAGAATAAGTTCTCTAGAAAAAATAAAAACTATAATAATTATAGAATTTTTCTTCTAAATAGTTTTTCTAATTATTCTAAGGGTTTTAATTATATATATCTAATTATATATAGTTTAATCTTAGAATATTTTTTATATATAATAAAAACTTTTTATTATATAGTATAACTAAATATATATAAATAGATATTAAATTAATATTAAATCTATATTATTTTTAATAAAAATTTCTTATAATAATAAATATATACTATATTTATAAAGATAAATTAACTTATAATTTTAAAAGTAATTAATTTTTTTATTTCTAAATATATATAATTCTAAATTAAATTAAAATAAACTCTAATATATTAATATTAAATCTAATTTAATTTAATTAATATTTTAATCTAAATATAACTAAAAATAATATAAAACTTAAATAATTAATTTTAAAAGCTATTTTTATTTTTATTAATTTAATATAGTATATAATATATTAAAACTATAAATTATATATTAAATTATAATAGATCTATATAAGAGAATAATTATTTTTAAGATATAGTATTTATTTAAATTAATTTTAATTCTCTATAAATATCTATAATAGCTATTAGTAGTAGATTATATAGTAAAATAATAATCTAAGTAGATATAGCTATTAGATTTATACTATTAAAAATAGCTTTATTATTATAAATAAGCTTTTAATTAATTAAAGAGATATATAATAAATATAATTAGTAAATAGCTATATTAGATTATTTTAAATAATAATTATTATTACTTTAAGAATTTTATTAGTAATATTAAATAGATTCTAAGAAATTAGAATATTTATATTAAATATTATAATTATTTAAAATATCTAGTAATTAATTAATTAAATAATTAATTAATAATAAGTTTTCTCTCTTAGGAGCTATAGCTATAGTTAGACTATTTATATATCTAGCTATATAAATAGCTCTTATTATTAGAGTTTTTAAAGTATTAATATCTATATCTAAACTAAAAATATTTAATTTTAACTTTATTTTATAGTATTAAAGATTTAAATATAAACTATTAATTATATTCTTAAAAAATATATATTAAATTATATATTATTTAATTTTAGAATATATTTTTATTTATAGTAAAACTAATAAAAAAAAAAAACTTTTAAAAAAATTAAATTATTTTTATTTATTAATTATTTATAGTTTTTTTATAAAAAACTTTATATAATTTCTATTTATAATATAATATAAATATTAAAATAATATTTTTTTTTTTTAAAAAACTAATTATTAATTATTTAAATTTATTAATTTATTCTAAACTATTTAATTTATTTTATAATTTACTATTAAATTAAAAAAAATAAAAATTTAAGCTTATTATTAATTATTTATTTATACTATTAAGTAAATATTTATATAGAATAATATAACCTAATACTATCTTAATAATCTAATATTCTGATATTTTATTCTATATTTCTTATTCTTAGTATTATAGCTAAGTAATATATAAAATATTACGACTTGTTAATTATATTCCTAGATAGCCGCGCGAGGCACGGCTTGCAAATATACAGAGCGGTCCTACTTCTGTTGGTCAGGCGGTATCTGATGAAAATCCAATCTCGAGAATGGCGTGTTTGGTGCGTATGATTTGAAATGGGTTACTGAGTTGCTCGGGAGATAGTTAAAACTCGTATATAGACACTGGATCGGAAAAGCAAATAGCAAGTTCAACGTCTAGCGAAATACAGCATGATAGGCCACGTCTAGAACGGCTTATTCTACTGCCCCAACAAGGACTTGATGCGTGTGGAAGCTATGATGCATCGCCCTTACTCGACTCATTTTCCGACTCGGTGAAGATGACATGTTGGTCGCCACAAGGAAAAAAAAAGAGACATTGAAATAGAAGCTATCGACCAACTATTACATGCATACAAGAATGTGTATGTGCGCCGATTTGCTTGGGCAACCTCCTCGAACTTCAAGATCCATCCATCTGCCTCTCAGTCCCAAGAAACTGAACTCACAAGGAGGAGGGCATAATCATATATCATTACAACACGTGCGGCCCAACCAGGCCAACGTTCAGATCTTCGTCATGTGATGAACGCAGCACCTCCAATCTCCCCCGGCGTCCTGGCGCCACACAGTGGAACACAGCGCCTCAGTAGGGATCATCTTGCCTTTTTTATCTTGACGCCAGGCCGTGACGCGGTAGGTGAGCGCAGAGCTCATCATGTCAATCTCCACAAATGCTGGATCGTCGTGTATGCGGTATGCTGTCCAAGGCTCAAAATGCTCGACATAGTCATCAAGTGATGGCTCACTGTCGGGCGAGTAGATTTCGTTGCTGGGATCAGTCACCACAGCATCCTCGGCCAAGTACTTGCGGATGGACTGAGGCTTGTCGCACATGGCTCGCCAGAGTTGGGTTTGCGCCTCAACTGCGTCATCCTTGTTTCGGCTAAAGATATTTCCCTTTCCAGGCTTCCCAGGCATGGTGATGGTTGTTTATGCGGTTGATTGTATGTATGAATGCTTGAATCAATTACAGTGCGACGACTCGGGTCGTTTTGGAACAGACAAAATAGGGCGAGAAAAGGATGTGAATCGTTCTGGATCGTTCATAGACGAGGACATGGCAGGGCGACAGAGAACCATACATAAATAACTAGACAGAGGGATCGCAGCTCGCAGTAAGGTGGCCTGCGTCATCGCGCATCTCGTCTTCCGGAACTTGGAAGAAAGGCCAGGTACCGGCATCTCTTTGACGTCAGCGATGTATGACCATCTTCAACGGTCATGAAGGTGCGTGGGCTCGAGCCTGGTTCACGAGAAAAGCTATAAGGGGAAAGGATTGGCAGGATCGAAACAAGGAAGACGAACACTGGCAGACCCATCATACCTACGTAATGGAGCAACAAGCTGGGTGACATAAACCACGGCACTCAACGGCGTCGTATTAGACACAATATCAGGCTGTACGGTATGCGAAACCGCAACAGAAGAAACTAAGGTCAAGAAAAGCACAAAGTATAATGTTTTTTCCAGTCTGATAACTCGCTATCAAAGCTGTTTGCGCTGATATCCGGTCGGAAAACGTCGTCAGTGCAGTGGCCTTGACGCGCCCTGCTTTTTTCTTTTTGTCACCCACTTGCCTGGAACTCAAAATCAAGGCGTTGGTGATTGGGCTGGGGAAGGCAATAAGTGGGCATTTTATGCACAGCTGCACAATGGTGGCTGCAAGTACCTCCAGGTATCGCCAGTGGTGGGTACCTTCCGCGCACCAACTGCCACCACTAACTGCCCCCGCTCCGCGCTGCAGCGAGTGATGGGAGAGACTGTACGGCCAAACCGCCAGCATTCAAGGCCCATTCTGTCTGTGCCTCTCTGAATGACTAAGCCCGATCGACAACCACCTCCCAAGGCCACGGCATGCCACACCAGCCACTCACCCTGACAGCTAGACGAGTCGGAGATGAAGAATTCGTAAAAAATGTGCGCACCATCTCTGCCTGTTGAACGTTAACATGGTCCAGGCAACTCGATTTCTCCAAGGCCTCTCCTACCTCTTCTTTGTGGCAAGTAATCACCTTGTCTGTGCCCAACATGACCGAACCCAGCCCCAGACACAGAGAAGCACCATCACCAATAATGCCAGCTCAACTGTCGGCACATGCGAGGCCCGCACGATCAATTACATAACACATACCTTACCCCAGTCTTGCCTTACAAGCTCCTGGATGAGCCCGACATCTGCTAAAGACCAACCTTCGACCCAAACCAACTCGAATGTCCCTGCCACCAATGGCCCCAATGAATCGGCCGCAGAGCCGGTCACATCCACTACAGGCAGCTCGTCGATTGCTGTAGGAACGCAAGAAAGCTCGGAAACACAGGTGGAGTCTACAGCCAGTGAGCCTGCCGCTACACCATTCATGTCTTTCGAAGATTGGAAGGCAATGATGCTTCAGCGGACTGGGCAGGACCCGAAAGACCTCAGTTCCCGGAAGGACAACGCCGGAAAGCCCTACGACAGAATACCCCCCGATATGGGACGTTTCGATTTGGGAGGCGAGGACGAAATATCTCTCGATTTTGAAGACTATGTGGACAAGCACGGCCAATACCAGCCATCAGCGGGTGTTCCGCCGAGGGATGGGAATAACGAAAACCAAAAGGCCGAGGAACCTGTCGTACACAAAGGCGACGCATCTCTGTATCGCAGCAAGGATGCTGGGAAGACCTGCAAGGAGAGGTTTTCCTACTCTTCTTTCGACGCCGGTGCCACCGTGCTCAAATCTGGACCCGGAGCCAAGAATGCAAAAGCAATTCTGGTAGAAAACAAAGATTCTTACATGCTCCTGGAGTGCGCCCGCCAGAGCAAGTATGTCATTGTTGAGTTGAGTGATGATATTCTTATTGACACTATCGTGGTGGCCAACTTCGAATTTTTCTCGAGCATGATCCGTCACTTTCGTGTCAGCGTCAGTGACCGCTATCCCGTCAAAGCAGACCGATGGCATGATATCGGTACCTTTGAAACCCGTAATTCCAGAGACATCCAGCCCTTTCTTGTGGAGAATCCTCAAATTTTTGCCAAATATGTTCGAATTGACTTCTTGACACAATACGGGAACGAATACTACTGCCCAATCTCCTTACTGCGTGTGCATGGCTCTCGCATGCTGGACTCCTGGAAAGCGGGCGAGACGACCCGCGAGGAGGATCTTGCCATTGATGAGCCTATCGATGAGGCGCTCACGATATCTCATGATCCTACCGTAACAGATCATCCCATAGATGTCGTGGTGCAACCCAATTTGGAGCAGGACCAAGGCTCTGTTTCTCAACCCGAGTCAAGACAGAGTGAGACAAGCCCATGGGCCTCTCACCCTGCTAATGTTTTTGAGAGCGGAACCTTAACGTGCCCTAAGGGCTCAGAGCAAGTTGATCGCGATGCAACATTACCACTGTATAATGGCACCCGCCCTGATCGATCGTCCCATTCAGCATCTCCCCAAGATGGAGTTGGCGGGAAGCTCGCAGATGCAAAAAACCTGCCACAGCCTGTAGAGGGCGAGGTAGAGAGCGATGCTGCAGTACAACCCCCTAAGCCGCCTTCGTCGAATCATCAGATGCGCCCTACAGGACAAAATAACGTAACGTCGGCCAATGGCACAGTGACGGGTGAGGCCCCTGTGAGTTCATCAACACAAGCTTCCAAGCCCTCAATGGCCGCACAGGCTGTTCAAAAGCAACGAACTGGCACTTCGAGTGCACCAGCAGCAACACCTACTGTTCAGGAAGGATTTTTCAATTCCATCACCAAGCGGCTGCAGGCCGTTGAGTCTAACCTCACTCTCTCGCTCCAATATCTGGAAGACCATTCGCGTTATGTGCAAGATGCGTTGAAGCTAGCCGAGCAGAAGCAACTATCCAAGGTGGCAGACTTTCTGGACAACCTCAATCGCACCGTCTTTGCTGAACTCCGAGGCATGCGTGATCAGTACGATCAGATATGGCAGTCGACAGTTATCGCTCTTGAAAGTCAACGAGAGCATTCTGAGAATGACATTGTTGCCCTGAGCTCTCGCCTCAACCTACTTGCTGATGAAGTCGTGTTTCAAAAGAGAATGGCAATTGTTCAGGCCATACTTCTGCTCTGTTGTCTGTTCCTCGTCATTTTCTCTCGTGGTGTCCCCATTCCTTATATCTCTCCACTCTTGGAACAAAGCAACGCCGCAAACTACTATCCGACTGTCTTGCCATCCCAAAGCCGAACAATGTACGGAGTGGGAGGCGAGCAGTTGGTACCTAACCCTCATGTGAACCATCCGACGGACACACAGCCGTCTCATTTAGCTACTGAATATCCAACCACTTTGGACTCGCAATTGGATCATTCGATGAGCACCGCAGAGTCGGTAGATACGCAGAACACCTTGTCGAACCATAACAGACTCTCGCCACCACTGACCCCAAGCCTTCAAGCTACTGAATCTGGACTTCTCGATCCTTCTACAGCATTTGATTTGCAAGCATCTAATTTACGACGAACTTCAAGTTTCCAGCATAGTCACAATCGGAAGCCGCTACCAGCACTTCCGGAGCATCCATCACCCCCCTAGAACAAAGGGCATTCAAATCCGAGAGGGAACTAAACCCGTCGGTTTTTAGCGCGGGATCGACGATATCAATTCACGCTGGGATACATTTTCAGTGCGACCACTGCTGGCAGTGTAATTTGAGCCCTTCGATTTGTTTACTAGGCATTAGAATCGTACATGGTGTTTTTGCATTGAGTAATTAAATAGCAATTTTTTCCTTCAAGACAACCTGACCTCCAGAAACCTTCAAATCTTCTCACTCATAAAGATCAAAAGAAAAAGAACTCCCCGAAATAGTCACCAGTGGTGGTCAGATCAATGTGTAGTTGCACCATGCAGATGGTTGATGGCTGTCTCGTAATCATACTCTTCAAGTGCCGCAAGACGAGTTCCGCGGTCATACTGTGACCGTCTACGTCGCTGCTCATCTCTAAAGTGTTGGCCAGCATTTGGTGTAAACAAACCTTGACACGTGTGTGAGCTTCAACCTATCTCTCACTCTTGCATTTAAAAATAATCGATAAGTCACGTACCAACATGTTCAGCATTCTCACAGCTTCTTTTCATCTTAGATTGGTTGTCTGGCTCTGGAAATGGCTCCTCTTGGCCAGCCAGTTCTGGCACCGGCCCGTTAGATGTAAAGTACAACTAGAAGCATGTGAGCAGAGTCTTTGAGCTGAAGAGGCTCGCATCTTTCCTACCTTTGGCCGGTAATGGGGCGCCTCGAGCATCACCGAGCTGTTTCGAAACTTTTGTACTAAGCAGTCCTTGCCTTGGATGGCTGTTCCCCGTAAGTTTATCATACATAATTTAAAGAGTTTATTGATGAGAATATGGAGATCTCACTTACTAGCATAAGATATTTCTGCTACTTTGTCGCTTTTGAAACAGTTCCTTGATTGTGGTGAGATTAGAATGAAAAAAGAGGGACACGGAAAACCTACCAGCGCTGGTTACCACGAGCATCGACAAACTAGAAAACAGGTTAGACTAGCTTCCCACTGGATGCTTGCTTCTACTTTACATCTATAATGTCCAGGGGCTATTTTCACCAACAAGTTAGCTCTAGATTTTTTGACCAAGTCTTTGATACGGTTGTGCTCACATCGACGAAATTGATAAACGCGTATCCAACACTGCGCCCCTTCAGGTTAGTTCTGTTGTAGAGACGTGAGAAATGCCCAGTGTGTGTGACTTACTTGCAATCGTTGGCAAAATCAATTCGTAGATACATGAAGTCGTACTTGCCCCAGCTTGATTCGTCGACAATTCTTTTGAGCATAGCTTGGTCAACTTTGTTGGGGATATTGCGTAACATGATCTTCAAGCGTTATTATTAATTGCGTCTTTAGAAATGTGGCTGGTTTAACTCACGGTTGTTCGCACATCGATGCCTTCCCTGATGCGTTGTATATCGACATGATTATGGTGGCCAGCCGAATTGTGGTGAGGAGACCGGTTGACGCGAGCTGCATTTTGTCTTCGGGCATCCAGTCTGCCATACCCAGGCATCGGTCTGGAAGGGCTTTGGTTGCTCTGAACAGTCAGAGCTGGTGACGGAGGGGTTTGATATACCGACCCAATAACGGGATATGAAGGGGACACTGGGGTCAAAGGTGTTGACTGGCCACTGGTAGGCAGCCTATCCAGCACGTATGAGACTCCAGGTGTAAATGGAGACTGGAACATGAGAGGATACATTGCGATGGACGGTTGATAAGGTGCCCCGACTGCTACTGTGCCCCGGGCCTGAGCAGAGCCCAACTTAAGGGGTTGCCCACGAGAGTCATTTAACTCTTGGGTTGATGTTGAAGTTGGATTTTCGATGGCACAAGTACCAAGGGAGGAGATGTGAATTTCAATGCCCTTGATGGATTAGTTTATGTTTTCTTCAGCAGTGTAAGCGAGGTTCTATTTAACTCACATAGATAGCCGGGCTCCTTTGTAGAGTTGTCAGCGCCTTGATAGCAGCGGTAGAGCTGCAGAACTCGGCAATAGCTCGAAATGATCCGTCAAGGAAAGTTGAAATATTCACAAAGGCAAATAGTTGTCCGTAGGCGTGAAGAATTTTTTTCACGGCCTCGACAGTGTAGGCGGGATTTTGGGGTGAGCAGTCCTTTGTAGCCACGGCAAAGATAAGGACTTGGCCGAAAAATTCGACTAAGTCTTCCGAATCATTCTGATAGTCAGGGTTAGAAAGACTCTGTTCACTTTTGTAGCTGACTTTAATTTACCTTGGCATCCTTGGTGGGATTCAGGAAATCAAGTTGCCACTCCTTTTTACCCAACCGTGAACTTGCGTGGACTGAACAGGCATCTCGGATGTCAGTGAATCGCACGTGTATGTGATTGCCGTCAGTTTCAACGACTCTCTGGCCATGGAATTGAACTTCTTGCTCGTCTAGTTCCTGTATCTAGAATTAGTTTCCATTGCATAGTTCTGAACGAGATATTCGTCCAAGATCGCAATATTGAAGAAAGACATACCGTCAGCCAAGCTTCAACCTGTGGTTTGCAGATAACAGTAGGAGACGAGATGTTGAGAAGTCGAGAAAGTCCAAGGTCAGTGCTTAAAGCAGACGCTACTGGTGATGCAATATGCACTGATGGGATGAATCCAGGAGTGGAGAAAGGCTTGAAGGTTGAGGCAGTCGGGGATAGCTTCGTATTCTGAGTCACAAAGGGATCCTTCTCCAACTGCGACACCGAACCTCCGTATCTGGTGATCAAGGGCTTCACGGGGGTGGTCGTGGAGGAGGAACGGGAAATCCCAGGAAGCAAACTGGCCGACTTGGCGGAGCCTTCAGCAGGTGAAAAGGCTGTCAACCTTGTTTCAGGTGTTCCATTGAAAGATCCGGACACTCCAGAGGTAGGCCTGGGTGATTGCGGGTTGAACATCGTGTCACGAGATTGAGCCATGGCGATGTTGGTTGCTCGCTGACTAGACAAACCTCTTCACGGGCGCAGAAGTAGAATAGATTGGAGGCGCTTATCGCGAATTGCAATATGATAAAAGGTGTATTTTTTGTAGTCTTGGGAGGCCAAAGGTTAGAACGAACTGGTGAACTATCAACTTTTCTCGTCATCGCCAGTTGATGCAGCTTTGTGTAGCGACAGTGGATAGGTAGAGAAACACCAAGAAGGTAACTGAGGCGACAGGTGGTGCACAAACTCGTTTGCAGGGAATGAGTGTAGACTTCTTGAAGCGTCAAGAAGGGCGAGGGGATTCTAGGGTAGGAGTTGGCTGAAGAAGAGGGCAGAAGAAGTGATCGGGCAGTGCTAGTAAATGGAACAGGCGACTCTCTATGTTTGTCTGTGTGATCCTGGGCTGGTAACCTACATTGAACTGGCTCTAACTCTGTGGGAAACAGAGAGAGGCATAAGATACCAGTATTTAGTATCCTGCGCTCGTGTCTTGGGTATCCTTGGGAGTAGAAAGACAAGTAAATCTAGAAAGAGCTGCAGACGAGGTTGTGGTCTTGGCCAGATTGGCGAGCTCTCGAATGCTGCCACGAGGTAATGACAAAACACGGAGCGGTTGAAAAAAAAAATAGCCCCAGAAGATGGGATGAGGAGAGAAGGGAGGGCGAGAGAAGGGGAGGCGAGGTGGGAGCTTTACCAGCAGCGAGTGGGGAGGTTCACATTGGTTGATAGCGCAGGTAAATGGCAGGAGCGACCTGGTGCCGAGCGTACTGTCCACCAACATACACGGCCATGGCTCCTTCTTTAACAGAAAGAGAAAGTGCAACTCCCAAGGCCAACCGACAGTGGTACTTGCCTCATGGAATTTATCGAGCCTCAGACCCTGCTGTATCTGTTCCAAGCGCAATAGTCTGGTCAAGCACAAATAACGACCCCGTGATGGCGACATGTCGTTCTGGAGTTTTCGAGGATGGTACTACCATTTTCAACATCCGATTTTTGCAACTGATACTGTTGATTTTTGGCCATGTACCTATTATTTACATCTTATTGAGTGCCCTGGGAGGAACAACATAATTCAATCAGGTCAAGTTGATATTCTGGGATGAGTGTGCATTTACTACAAATATTGGCAGAAACAAGCTAGAGCGGAGGTTCTCCCACATACTATTAGGAGATAACGAGACTGGAAATTTCGAAAGCGAAATCAATATGATGTGATCCAGGAGTGATGGTGTTGGATGTCGTGAACGGAATACCTACCTCTTTGATGTAAGGTAGGTGGTTGTAGTCAGCAGCGCCGGGGGTGGAAGCTCAAACATGGTCCGTGCACCGGAGACTTAGAGGCGATGCTGGAGCATGATGCGACGGTGTTCTGACTTACCCCAGGCAAGGCAGCCAGTATTCTGCCCAGATCTTTGTGCCTGGTGTTTAAGCGACCAGCGTTCGTATCACACAACTTAAGATATCTCTTGAAGCTCGGATACCTACGAATAGCTTGCCATTCGGGATGGGGCGACGACCAGCTGGGTTCGATGATTACTCCTCTGCGGTTCCGCAGGTCAGTCAAGAAGAGCTCCCCGCGCCTCGTGTTAATGAAGCTAATATCGCATTTGGTTTTAACAGATTATTTTGTCATCTACCGACACCGAATTCCTAGACCAGCTCATCCCCGTGCTTAAGGATGCAGCCCACTCGAACCGAACCCCGGCGTTGGTGAATCGCCTTGGACGATATTCGGAGGAACGCGAAGCTGACATCGAACGAATCGGTCTTACGAAACACCAAGAGTTTCTAGACTCTGTTAGTAGATTGGAGAATGTGCGAGAAGGGACTGTTGCAGTGACAGAGGAAATCCTGAAGCTCAATCAGTCAATTCAGTCCAGCACAGAAAAGCTAGCAGAGCAAAAGAGGGCGCTCGTCAATACAAAAGCTGTCCGACAAAACATTGCCGATGCATCCAGCGCTCTGACAGAGTCACTCAAGATCTTGCATGCCGTAAATCACGCTCATGATCTCGTCCGCAAAAAGAGATACTACTCCGCTCTGAAGTCTCTCGAAGACCTTCAAAATGAACACCTTGTACCTATTCTCCAGAATCGCTATGCAACCCAACACCGTCTAGCAGATGTCATTCAAAAATCCATTCCTGCTTCGCAAAAGGCGATATCTGAAGCTGTCATGACGGATCTCAACACATGGCTCTACCGTATTCGAGAAACCTCGCAATTTTTGGGCGAAGTGGCATTTTATCACACCGAAATGCGTCGGACTCGTCAGAGGAAAAGAGTGGAAGGGGACGCTTTTTTGAGCAGGTTCAAACTCAATTCCGCTATTGAATTAGTTTGCGATGAAGCAGAGGAGTTCGATGTCCTTGATAATGAAGAGCTTCAGGTTGATTTCACTCCGCTCTTCGAAGCACTCCATATCCACGATACCCTCGGGCAAACTGATAAGTTTCGATCCGAATATGCCACCACACGGCGGCAGCAGAAAGACTTGCTCATTCCCACCTCTGTGGACCTTACCGCAGAAGACGAATCATCACTAAGTAGTCTGCTGGAAGGAATTGCAGGCTTTGCTATCATCGAGAAGGCAACTATGCGGCGTGTGCCACAGCTTCGATCTGCGGCAGATGTGAGTTTAATGTATTCCAAAGGGATATCGCTGGTTCTGACTCCTCTAGGTTGAGGAGCTTTGGGAATCATTATGCACTGCGGCCATCAACCTAACCAATAGAGCGCTTGGTGATGTCACAAATGCAGAGGTACTTCTGAAGATCAAGGGCTTCATTTCTCTCTTTATTCAAACAATGGGGGTCAGTACTAGAGTCCTCTCCCAATGATCTAAGCTGGGCACGGTGCAATCTAACAAATGCTTACTACATTATAGGGTTGGGGCTATTCGGTGTCGACCCTTGACGCTTTTCTTCTCAAGCTTTTTGATAAATATGCAGACCTTCTGAAGAAACGGTTCAGCGATGATTTTCAGGAGGTATGTGCTGTCCCACCATCCCATATTTCCGTGCATGCTTATCTTCCCCGTCTAGATTGTTTCGATGGACGATTACATGCCTATGGCAATCAACTCCATGGAAGAATATGAGAAGGTTGTGAACGTCAGCTGGTTTGACCAAGAGAAACTACCTGATGAGTTGACGTAGGTTCCCTTGACCTCCACTGCTGCTAGTGTTCATTTACTAAGACCAAATAGCTTCCCATGCGTGCTGCCATTTTCGCAGATGTACCCTCTTTGTTGTATCGATATCAGGAATTTTTTGAATCAGTTCTACTTCTACTCAGACGATCATTTTCAGCACCCAGATGTAATCGACGAAACCTTAAGGAAGGTGAGCAGAGGTGTACCTATATTTGCGTTCTGCCCCATTCCTCTAATGAAAGAAACAGTCGCTGGATGAGCTTTTGACCGAGAAAGTCTGCCGATCTCTCGTAGATCGCCTCAGTTCACAATACTTGGGTCAAATAGTACAGATTCTCATCAATCTAGAGCATTTCGAAACAGCATGCCAAGAGCTCGAACAGCTTCTCATCCGAGCCCGATCATCGACCTCTGCTGGTGGGCCTCTGAAACTGAATGCCACCGACGAGTTTCGAAACAACAAAAAAACAGCCGAGAAGCGCATTTTCGAGCTGGTCAATTCAAAGATCGACGATCTCGTAGAAACCGCCGAGTATGACTGGTGAGTTAGATCTTCATTGATAAAATGAGGATAATTTGTTAACAACCTTTGTTCTCTTCTACAGGACACCAAGCTTGGCCACAACAGAGCCAAGCAGCTACATCCAAACCCTGACGAGATATTTGTCCAACATCATGAACTCAACCTTACTCGGCCTACCCCGCGAAATTAAGGAATTGATTTACTTCGATGCTTTGAGTCACGCTGCGAGCGAAATCTTGGTAAGCCCACTCCTTGCCGTTTTACCTGATAGCGCCGTTTTTATTAATTTTTAAAAGGCTCTGCCTCTATCGAATGAAGTCAAGCACATCAACCCTTATGGGGTTTCAGCACTTGCTCAAGACGTCCAGTATCTGACCGAGTTTGTTGATAGCCTAGAAAATGGCCAGATGTTGAGAGAAAATCTTGATGAGCTCCAGCAGACCGTCAATCTCATGCAGTCAGATAATCATGACGAGTTCTTCGACGTATCGAGCCGCAACAAAAAGTATGGCCGTGTCGACGCAATGAACGGCCCCATACTGCTAGAAAAGTACCATTCCCAACGCCCTAGGTGATTCTACAGAGAGCTAACTTATCTTCTAGACTTGTTACCCAAGTTCCCTCTCGAAACGCACCTCTTTTCGCAGGTCGTTTCGGAATGAAATGAGCAATGGGAATTGCGAACACGAGGAGGACTTACGAACATCGTTTCAAATCCAGTGGTAAGGGAGAGGGTGCCGTTGCAAAGTTTCTGAGCCAAAAAAACAATACTAATCCTATCACTAAGAGATACACCGAAAGCATTCGCCCTTTCTGAATCCATCACGCCGCAATCTTAAATCTCTGTTTGGCTCCAGGCAGTCAAACTGTATACGATGCCATAAAATAGGGTAACCAATACCCCAGGAAGCCACTTTGCTGCTGCTCTGCTGTTTCTGAAGTTGTGGAGTTACGAGAGCACGTGTCTTACTCAAACTCCTCAGATGGCATGGGGGCCTAAGTTGCAGGTCAGTCAAGCATGGTCATGAGAAGAAGCATTCGAGTCGATAGGTACCTGTTGAGCCTGCATAGCTGGATAAGAGTACATGCCTTCCATCTCACCATACATGCCTGTGGGTTGCCCTTGACCATATGTGGTAGCCTGGCCAGGGTACATGGCAGGATTTTGTCGATAATCCTGGTCAGTCCCTAGAGCATGTCCGGCCATGTAGTCACCAGGACCAAGTTGGTGTGCTGAGGAGTGGCCTGGTTGTGGGATTTGTCCAGGTATCTGAGGCTGGCCACTCGCGGACGGAACAGCTTGTGGAGGGGCTGTGGGTTGCGCAGTTGTTCTCTTGGCATGGGATGAGGCTTCTTCCCGGGGCACAATGTCAATCAAAAAATCAAACATGTCAGACTTTGCCAGGGCAGAGGCGATATCCGATCTCTGAAGGGTACGACGCTTGTTCTCTTCTGCATGTATCCAAGCTCGCATAGTTAACTCAGTAATGAAGATATCGCATCCTTTTGCGAAGAGGATGGGGGCCTCTGCCGATATCATCTTCACCTCTGGGTCCGCCTTCATGACCTTCTTGATTCGCGCCAGAGGAAGCTGGTGGATTTTAAACTCGTGTCTGTCGCTCTCGAGATGGCTGATTGTTTGCTGCCAGTACGTAGTTAGGATGTCTTTGTACTGTCCGGTAAGACCTTGGTGGACCTACACACCAAGTGTTAGATGGCGTTTGAAGAGAGGAGTGACTATAAAAACATACGTTTGCCCATGGACCGGTGTAGAGCTCAGCTGGGGCATATCCTTGCGAAGCCAGCTAGAATATCGGTTAGGCATCATCGAACAACTTCGTGATCATCATCAACCTCGGAGGACGAGGCTGGCACTCACAGTTGCGCAGGCGCCTAACGGAACACTGGTCAGCTTCTTAGGTCAAACGCGAAGGGACAACGGGTAAATTCTTACCATAATGGCCACCATGACTTGGATCGTAAGTTGGGGCCGGACGAGCTTGCTGGGCATGCCCCGAAGCAGTGTTCTGAGGATCCATATTGCTTGTGGTCATGATGGGATCGGGAACAACATTGACGGAGTGGGACAGTCGGGCATCAGAACCCAGAAGTGATGCATTGTTGTGGCGTTACCTACATCGTGTCAAGCCACATGTGACGCGCTTTGTGACTTGCTGTGGCTGGGGGGATCCTTAGCGTCAACTTCATTTCGAGATGTGGGGTCAACTTTTTTTTTTATAACAACCGCTCCATCCAACCTTCATTTTTTTTTCTCTTACTCCCCCAATCACGCTTTCTTCTTCCATTCTCACAGCCTTCAAACAATGTGATTGTTACAACCATGGACGACGAATTTGTAGGACAGATTGACCAGCTACTGCTCGAGGCAGAGCAGCGTCTTCAACCAGATAAACCTACATCAGCGTTAGCCACATCGGTTCTGACAAGGCCTACCAAGCTCGAAACCCCCGCTGTATCTTCAAAGGAGCCTGTCTCAAAGACAAGTCTGGCTGTGCGTGATGCATCGAAGCCAATTCTACCAACCCAGGTGTGTACCAGTTCCCTCTTATTCTCCCATCAAGGCATGCGACGAAGAATGATGATAAGCTGCCGCTTTCGGCCTTTCGTGACATGGGACACCGTCCGTTTTGGATATTCGTCCTATGGCAATGTGATCACCCTTTTTTTCATAGTTACTCTGACGGAACAGTCAATGCCTATACGATTTTCCTGCCTACCGTTGAAACAAAGTTGCGGGATATTATCACTGACAATCCCTGTGCAGAAAGGCGACTCAGCCGGCGCGAACTGGTTTGACATGCCAAAAACAGACTTAACAACCGAAATGAAACGAGACTGGCAAATTCTACGTATGCGGAATATCCTGGACCCTAAACATCAGAGAAAAAACCTGCAGAGCGAGCCACCCAAGTATTCTCAGGTTGGCGAGATTATTGCCGGACCTACCGACTATTACAGTGCCAGATTGACGCGTAAGGAGAGAAAGCGAAACTTGCTTGAAGAGGCGATGAGCACACGTGATGATGTCAAGATGAAGACGAAGTATGCCGGCATTCAAAAGAATAAGACGAGTGGGAAGCGAGCCTTCTACCAGAACCTTGTTCAGCGGCGACGAAAGGGAAAGACTTGAACTTGTCCCTGATTTCTGAACTTCATCTATAAACAAGTCCAGGCGGGAATTGTACTCGAGCATCGATACCTATAGACGACGCTTCATCCTCTCGTCTATTGACATCACCACAACTGAGTCCCGTAACTCGAGTGTTTCTGGTCGATATTGGAGGATCAGTTGAACTTCGGGGGCTTTGCTTCGGACAAGTGCAGAGTACCAGCCCTCACGACAATGCCGACCTACCACTGCCAGTGAAAGGAAGAGACGGGCAGTTCAGATCCCGGTGCTGCTCTAGCACAGTTGTATGGAGACGGCTCGAATAGGTCTTGAATGCCTGCATTGGCCTAAGTAGCTACTGTCATTAGCACTCACATAGATTGGTGCAATACACGCACTTCGGCGCGCAGCACCACGCCGCCCTCATGGTTGGCTTTTTACCACGGAGAATGGTAAATAATCGCAAGATAAAGAATCTCTACATATCACATATCCTAATTATTGCCATTCACTGTATTCGACTTACCCTGAAAGAACTCAAGGCGCTCAGCATACTCAAATCAATGTTGATGGTCAGTTTTGTTCTCCCACACTTGAGGCTAGGTGCCATTTCCGGCAGCAAGAGCGTAAAATTACCATAAGTTTATATTTGAATTGTCAAATGAATCCGAGTCTCATGCCATTTCTTAGAAAACGGCCAATATTCTACCTCTCAAGGCTCAATGCTAATGATGAGGTGTGGCTCTCTGTGGACCAATCATGCTTATGTAATACTAGCCTTAGAGGTTTTCCAACCGCCAAGGCCGACCGTAGATATCTCTTCCGAATACTGGCTGCCGGTTTTCAGAAGGCGTCAAGGGGAATACACACTCAGGATGAATCGCACAGCTGCCAGGTGCTTGACGCGCCGACAAGTAGGATTGGTTATTCCCCTCATTTCTGGATTTGCCAGCTAATCATGCCCAGGTCGTCAAGCCATGGATCGTTCAGCGCACTCAGGCTACTCTGTAAGATGTCTCCAATTCGAGTTCCCCGTGGCTCAAGGCGTGTAAACCGAAATTCAACTGACTTGATCTTTCACTCAGTGCGACGCCCAATGAAAAACTACCCAATTCGATCGCCCCTCAGGAAGACGAGTCGGAACCATCTGCACGATACCCTCGATCCATCCAGGCGCTTCATTTGAAACCTCTGAAGCGTGAAGCCGAATACGGTATTCCATCGTGCGATCTTCAACTTCGATCTTTCAGCTTGCAGCCCCTTGTATTCTTTACCGACTTTGCGTTACGGGCTGCCTACTACCTCGGGCTGCCCGCCTCTGGCCCCGTCCCTCTCCCTCGAATCACACAACGCTGGACTGTTCCTCGCAGTCATTTCATCTTCAAGAAGTCACAGGAAAATTTCGAACGAATTACTTTGCGCCGCCTAATACAGATAAAGGACGGAAACCCAGAAACTGTTCAGCTCTGGCTGGCATACCTGCGCAAGCACCAATACTACGGAGTGGGTATGAAGGCCAACATGTGGGAGTTTGGCGAGCCTGGCGAGGGCAAGGCCATGGATGAAACGCTAGAGAAAGAGGTGGAGAAGCTGGATGAGGCCTGGTCTCACATGGGACAGACACAGGCCATCGGTAATGCTACCAAGGTCGAGGAGCTGTTGAGCAGTCGTAAACTCAAGCAGGCAGCAGGGCTACGGGAGCCTCCAACGACCGGCACATCATAGGCCAGCCATTGTCCCGCGTATTGATAGCTGAAAAGCGTGTACTTTTTTGAGGCTCCCCGGGGGATGTCAAAGAAGTCTTGTCCAGACTGCGGACATGGCTTAACCGGATGTATGTTTGATAGCATGTATATTACAAACAATTGGGCGCTCGCGTGAGCAATGAACAACGTCAATTAGCTCTACGGGCAATTAAAACGCACTATAAATACACTTCTGGTGTTTTCCCTAATCCGCAGACGTGGAATGGGGACTTGGTTGGAATCTAGAGATAGATGTTTTGGAGGATATGCCTCGATAGCCGCATAATAAGGTCACCAAAAATTTCCCTGCGGCGCATGACGGGCCGTGACGGTGGGTAAAATATGTAGACCCTGAGCCAGCAATACAATCGCAAAATCAGCAATCCGTCCCTGTATCCAATCATATCCTTCCATCGTCAGGCGACTTGCTATGCTTGGCTCCCTCTGGCCATACAGTTAAATTGAGAAGAAGCACTCCCAATGCTACGTCAAGCTGTCTCTGCCGCCGCTGCCCACTCAAGGAGCCAGCTGCCCCGGGTGATCTTCTCAGGCATTCAACCAACCGGAATACCTCATCTGGGTAATTATGCGGGAGCTTTGAGCCAATGGGTTCAGCTGCAGGACACAGAGCCCAGCACCAGCAAAATCATCTTCTCCGTCGTCGATCTCCATGCCATCACAACGCCACAGCCTCCGCAGCAGCTCAGGCAATGGAGGAGGGAGGCTCTAGCCGCTCTTTTGGCCATTGGCTTACACCCTGACAGAGCTACCATCTTCTTCCAGTCGTCGGTTCGTCATGCTTCACTCAATTCCTAACTGCTAGGGCGCACTCCTGACCGCTTGTTACCCCAAGGTTCCTGCACATTCGGAGCTCATGTGGATCTTAAGCTGCACCGCTTCAGTAGGATATCTGTCCAGGATGACACAGTGGAAGGTACGGGACCCGACAAGACGTCGAATCTCCCTCATAAGCCCCCTATTCCGCTATATTGAGTCCTTCGCTTTGCCTAACCGTCAGACAGAGCAAACTTAACCTAGATAATGCCTCTAGTTTAGATGACCGAGGCGTTGGTTCTAAACTGAAGCTTGGGCTCTTCTCCTATCCTGTTCTTCAAGCAGCCGATATCCTAGTTCACCGGTATTTGATATACCCGATTCCTGTCCTCCGACTTTTTTGAAGGAACATGAGCTAATATTTCCCAACGACAGAGCTACGCATGTTCCAGTGGGCCACGACCAAAAGCAACACCTTGAGTTTGCTAGAGAATGTGTCACCAATTTTAACCATGCATACGGAGACCATTTAGTACAGCCAGAAACTCTTATATGTATGCGGTTTGAGCATCTAATGAGCTTACTCGAGCACTAGCTAATCTATTGCACAGCTCCAGTTCATCGTGTCATGTCTCTAACTGACCCAAGCTCCAAGATGTCGAAATCGCACAAGCTAGATCGCTCTCGTATCCTAATCACTGATTCTCCAGAACAAATCAAAGCCAAGATAGGCTCTGCTCTGACTGACTCCATCCCTGGCATTTCCTATGATATCGAGAACAGGCCTGGAATATCCAATCTCCTGTCAATCCTCTCCCTCTTTGATGACCGGAAAAGAAGTGCTACACAGCTCGGGGCTGCTTACAGTGACCTCTCACCCAAACAATTCAAACAGATAGTGTCCGAAGCCATTATTCAAGGCTTTGCAAGCGTAAGAAAGCGCTATCTAGAGCTTTTGAGCTCAGACAACGATTATCTCGAGAAAGTCGCGGCAGAAGGGGCTCGCAAGGCAAATCAGAGTGCTGAAGAAACCATGTCCTTGGTGAGGGAAGCTGTAGGCTTCTAAATCACCACGGAGAATTCAGTTGGTGGTTACTTGCCTTTTGAAACAATCGAGATTTGAAACCCATCAGCAACTTGCAACTCTATCATCAGCGTTCCTTTCTCTACACCCAGTGGCAGACGGCCCTTAGGCATTGTTGATGTAGCTTCCCTCCGAGACCAATCTTGTCATCTCAGGGCCAGTGTATCAGGACGCATATGCAAAGTTGGAACCTCTAGCGGCCAACCAGAAATCTCTCACGACTTGATTGGTTGCTCGGGCCCCTCGAAGACTAGTAATAAGATGTTAGTATCGCCTCGGTTTCATTTACCCATGTACATATATATTATCCTAGACTCATAGCCACTCACGTACCTTATTATTTTCTTTAAGAACATGCTCTTTTGCTCCAACGTAACTTTTGAGCTGGGGAAGGACGGGTGATTCAAGCCCAGCTCAAGCCACAACTTAGTCTCGGGATACCGGCTTACCATCCTTTTTAGAGGTTCAGCGACCTTGTCCAACTCGCTGCGAGCTGCATTTCCACCAATATTCCTAGCGATGCACTGGCAAAGCAAAGGACCGAGGGTAGCCATTGCCTGGCTGACTTCCCCTTTCAGGCCGTTTGTAGATTCATCATTAAGACTCACAAATGTAGTCTTCAGAATCAGTTAGTGTATGGGACTTGCGTTAGTCATGTCGAGGACTTACCCAGAAGTCAGTGGCTGCAGCTTTTGGCAAAGGCTCCTTTCCATCCAAAACTCTCAAAGTGAAGAGAAAACAGTACTCCATCATATCGGAAGACTGGAGATGGAGAAAAGTGCTTGGACTTTTTGCAAGCAAGCGACTAACAAAATCGATTGCATTCTGTACAAGCTCTGGGTCGTGCTCCGGGTCTTTCACTCTCGTCAGTTTCATCTAGCCTCATCAGAGTAACAGGCTCGAGAAACAGAAACCCAGATGAATCGGAATTTAGGATAAACATACCTGGATGCTGCTGAATCAATCCAATCACCCAGATGAGAAGATCCGTCAGAATGTGCTGTCTATGTACGAGCTCAGCTGGGGTGAAGGAGCTCACAAAGGAGCAACCTGTGCTCACGAGAACGCCAATCCTTGGAGTATTTCCGTTGTGTTTGGTCAGAAATTTGGTTACATCCTCTCGTGAAAACACAAAGAGTCCTGGAAAAGGTTCCGAAAACCCGCAACGAAGAATACTGCAGATGATCTCAGTTACATCTGAGCAAGTACTAAAGGCGTTTTGAAGCTGCAGCAGAATGCTGAAAATTCCACGATGCAAGTCTGTCAACTCGGAATCTCCTTCACTGCCCGCCACAGCCGTAGAGTCTATGTCGATGGGCGCCTCGGAGGGAGATTGGAAACCTCGACCTATAGCGGCAAGGCATCGCAGGGACTTCAGAGCAAGATGAAGCGCTGGGTCGTCAAGACCAGCGTCATCGAAACATCGAGCTCCGGTAGCGCAGCCGACTCTGGCCCTTGCTGCTGGTAACTTCGTAGAGTCAATTGAAAGTCTCACATCTGTTTCGACAAATCCAAGCAATCTTATACATGCCGCGAGCCTTGCTTCTGGCTCGGGAAGCGCTTGGGCTATACATGCAATCCCCCCCAAAACTCTTTCACTCGAGTGGCAGTCTAATCGCTTGCTGTCTGAAAGCTTTTGGTACTCGTCGAGGAATCCGCCGGTCTCGCGGAACAAATGTCGACGGCAGGAGGAACATAACTGTATGATTGACTTTGATGCTGCAGATGCCAGGCTATGCTCACCAACGAGGCTAAATAGAAGGCTGAGGGCAGGAGGTAGATGTACAACATTGCGTTCAAAGTACTCGGTGTAGTGCTCGATCAGGCCCACGCATGTTTGGCGAGTACGAAATGGTAAATCCATGTTGTCTTGAAGAATCTGGAACAGAGAAGAAGCAAATACGGATGCCAGCGCCTCGTCACTTCTTGGATCCTCTTTGATGCAATCAGCCAGCGCACTCAAGCAAAATGCCGCAGCTTCTAGGTGGCGCCATGAGCGCTCAGAAAGTGATTTTAGTACAAGTTCCGCGAACGTGAATACAAGCCGGGGTCCTGATAGAGTGTAGGTGGATTGTAGGAGATCGGCCACGTCCTTCCTCGCTTCGTTGAAGTTCAGTCGATCGCCCGAGTCCCACTGACTGAGCTCCTCAGTTGCTGGGAAGGCAATTTTCTGCCATGCATTTGAAACAGCTTGCAGGACATAGGATACCGCCGATGATTCCCACGGGTTCGGAGATTGCTCTGCAGAATATGTCTCATCTGTCACAGTTTCTGAGAACGTAGACCAAAACTCTAGAGAGGGAACAAAAATCTTGTCATCCACAGCAGGGCAACCCTGTGCATTCAGTAATCCACAAAGCATCGACAAGATATTTTGGCCCGTGCCATCGGCACTACGCATCAACAGGTCCACACGGGCGTCTCCATAGGCGAGTAACAGTTGTCCGTATTGGAGTTTTTCAAATTCAAAGTCTCCCCGAAGCAAGTCGTGATAGTGCTGATGAAATCTCTGAGTACAGAAGAAAGCATCAAGCATAGAATAGTGTTGCTCTGTAAGAAGACCGGAGAAGTTTGAGAGGATATCTGATAGAAGTTCAATGGTCTCCAGGACAGGCTCTTCTGCAGCCAAAGATTCGATGACAAGCGTGATCAAAGGCCTCAAAGTGTCAACAAAATCCTTATCTCGAGTCGATGCCTTTTGAACAAATAAAACCCAGGCCTACGGAGAAGTGAAAGTCTTAATATCGAAGCAACATGCGCTCAACGCCAGGTTTAAAGCTATCTTACCTGAAGACATTTGATTGAATCTTCGTGGATTCTTGGCTGCGCGAGGAATGCACTTCCCATGAGTGCAACCGCATCAGAAGAATTTTGGCGGATAACGTTATAAAGGCCAATACTTGAAAAAGAAAATTATTAGCAATTCGATGATACGAACGGGCATTTGCGACTTCTTACTTTTTTTCTGAATTTAAGTCCAACTTTGCAGCTTCTTCGACAACATTACCCACTACCCAAAGAGCAGCTCTTAGCTGAGCATTGCCAAGGTTTGCTAAAGCAGGCCTGATGTCGGGGAGTTCAGCAGTTCCTAAATCTAGGTGGACAGGCTGCCCCGAAGCCAGGCATACCACCAGGTGGCGTACGAACGGCGTCCATATTCGATGGAAATGGACTAAGAACGTGGCGAGGGCAGATGCAAGCTTCCTAGTGACAAGTGGAGCTGTTCCTTGAGAACATGATTCAAGATACCAACCAACAAGGTTGGCGAGAAGCTCTCTAGCACTATTGTCACTCAACGCATCGCTAGAAACAGAGTGTCAGCACTTGTGTGAATACCAGGAACCCCGGTGGGGGCTTAACTGACCTTTCAGTGTTGAGCTTAATAATGATAATAAGGGCACCGTGGAACTTGACTTCTTGATCTGGTCTGGTCAGTAAGTCGCGGGCAATAGACCAAGCCTGTGGTGAGCCTTGTAGCTGGGTGAGTGATGCCTGGGTGGAAGCAATCACATCTGGCTGGTTCGCCTGGTAGAGTGTGAGGATAAGCTACAAGTTTGTTAGAAATATTTGCCTTGTGAAAGGTTGAGATTGGGAAATGCCCGATCATGCTACATACAGATTCAACCTGCTCGACGGTCAGAGGTGGTGCTTGACTGTCCATATTGAAATGCCTGCTAGCATCATGTGCGAAGTTGTGGAAAGAACCGGAGTTTTCACCGATCCGGCTGCAGGTTGGAAACGGCAAGCCAAATTTGGGATCGACGAGGAAGTGAATGTGCCTAGGTACTTCGTTTCGTACCAGGGCGCAAGGTTTCCTGAGTTTTGGAGGAGGGAGGGGGGAAATACGGATGGGTGATGTAGGGAAGTTTGTAGTTGGAAAGTAAAGTCGGTGGTGAGCGGAGCCAGGCTGGGCAGTAGCCAGTAGCGGGATGGGATGGTAACAGATATCAGCACAATGCAATTCAGGCACCACAGGTATCGTATAAGGCGTATAACGAGGATGAAAGTCACAAGGTTCTATGTTTCTGTATGATTCTTCTTGCTGAAAAGCCATTCAATGCCACATAAAGCCGCTCCAGCACCAGCAATTGGGAGTTTGGAAACGTTTGGGAAGCAAAATTGCGACGCCCATGGTGAGGCGAGCGTGATGCAGCCTACCCTATAGGAGGCTATGCATGCAGGTATTCTCCGGCCAGCATCCCAACCTAGTTAACCACAAGACTCCCTCTTCCAATGACAAAATATGGAAGTTTTAGGGTTGGGGGCTTGAAATTCACTTATCGAATTAGCCCTGAGCGCGGGTTCGCTGCCCAGAATTGGAATATTATTGTACCTGGCAACCTTTCAAGTGTCACATTTGCTCGGGATAAATAGTACGTACCCAGGTAGATCTATGGTTCCATGCCGTATCCCCCCATCACAAAACAAGACTTGCCCGAGCCTTCTGTTTCCAAGAGCGTTACAATGTAAGATGTCGCTCATTGACTCCCCGGAGTGGCCTGATGTTGTTTGCTTCTCATTCCCCCAAGTCACTCGCACATCTCAGAAAGAGAAGGCTTGATGGTAGTGTGGGCACATCGGTATTGCTCTCGACTTGCACCCCGCTATTCCTGAAGCCAGTACCATTCCTGTGACCCCTCAGCCCTCCAAGGGTCGCTTCCACCTCACCTTAGGTAATGACTGGTTGGTTTCAATGGAGCCTTTCGCTGTGCTGCGATTTAATAGGCGGGTAGCTAACGCTTTTCGTTCCCCCACCACATACCTAGCGGGCAGGTCCATCCCAACTCCTCATTCGCAAGCAGGCAATTCATAGGTGGTAGGTATGAATGACTTGTCCAAGTCTTGGAGTCCCCTAACTCAGGTACCTTGAGTGGATAGGCAGTACACCAACACCGCTTGATCGGCACAGAACCATCAAGCTAATGCGAGGTTCTGGGATGTAGCTGGGCAGGCTCGCAAGTACTGCAGTTAGGAAGCTTGCTTCAGCATGCCATCAGTAATGCACCCTTGTGCCTTCCCCAAGGTATGATGATGTGTGCCTTCGGACCCCAATTCTCCCAGCAGCCACCTCACGATTACCGTCCCCTGGCTCTCCCATTAACACAACGTACAAATTGGCTTGACTGACCTTTTCAGCTTACCTTCTTCAAGGCTGCACTACAACCGTGCTGCCTTGCATCCTCGCTCTTCCACTTGTCTTTGAATTATCCCACCAGGGTCACACGACCCCTCTCAACCGTCATTGGAGCCATGACCACAACCAAGGTTGACACCACTTCTCGCCTGGCCAAGCTGAGAAGCTTGATGAAGGAGCGCAATGTGCATGTCTACAGTAATTTATCCCTGATCCTTCCGCTCTAATCGCATCGTTGGGTGAAATCCTAACAGCCTTACTAGTCATCCCATCTGAGGACAACCACTCTTCAGAGTACATTGCTGCTTCTGATTCTCGACGTGAGTACATCTCGGGCTTCACTGGATCAGCTGGTGTGGCCGTTGTCACACCCGAATCAGCAATTCTTTCCACCGATGGCCGTTATATCATTCAGGCTACCAAACAGCTCGATGCCAACTGGAAGCTCTTCAACTCCGCCCTTCAAGATGCCCAGACTTGGCAGGATTGGTCAGCAGAACAAGCAGCAGGTGGTAAAGTCGTTGCTGTTGACCCATCATTGCTCCCTTCTTCATCTGCAAAGAAGCTGAGTGAAAAGATTCAAAAAGCCGGAGGTGCTGAACTACTTCCCCTTGAAGAAAATTTAGTCGACCTGGTCTGGGGTGATGAAAGGCCTGCTCGTCCGCAACAGCAAGTATTTCTCCACCCGGATAATTTTTCTGGGAGATCCTTGAAGAGCAAGCTCGACCAACTACGCCAAGAACTTGACAAGAAAAACGCAGCTGGGTTTGTGGTCTCGATGCTCGATGAGATCGCCTGGCTTTTCAACCTGCGAGGTAGCGATATTCCCTACAACCCCGTGTTTTTCTCATACGCCGTTGTTACGCCCGAGTCTGCAACGCTTTATATCAACGGCCTAGAGTCCAACGATACAGTGACCGCGTACCTTGCAGAGAACAATGTACAATGGAAACCATACGATTCAATCCTTTCCGATGCTAGGTTGCTTCAATCGCAAGTGAAAGAGACCGCGGGAGCCCAAGGTCAAGCGTCCCCAAAGCACCTGCTTGTATCCAACAGAGCTTCATGGGCGCTGCACCGTGCGCTAGGAGGTGATGACCTCGTAGATGAAGTTCGAAGCCCCATCAGCGATGCCAAGGCGATAAAAAATGAGAAGGAGCTTGAAGGCATGCGAGCCTGCCACATCCGAGACGGCGCTGCTTTGATTGAGTTTTTTGCCTGGCTTGAAGATCAGCTTGTGGTCAAGAAAGCAGTACTCAACGAGGTCGAGGCCGACAAAAAACTCATCTCGCTCCGAGAAAAGCAGGAGCTTTATGTCGATCTCTCCTTTCCAACTATTTCATCCACTGGAGCCAAGTAAGTAGTATTTTGTTCTTGAAGTTTGTTGTTAATTGGTGCTATATTGGACGAAAAACCAAAACAAAGCTGACAATCATACAAGTGCCGCGGTCATTCACTACAAGCCCCAGGAGGGCGATTGTTCTGTGATTGATGTAGACAAAGTTTATCTCTGTGACTCAGGGGCTCAGTATAAAGATGGCACTACAGACACGACCCGAACCCTGCACTTTGGAACCCCAACCGACGCTGAGAAGGAGGCCTACACCCTGGTTTTGAAGGGCAATATCGCTCTAGATAGAGCCGTTTTCCCCAAGGGCACCACGGGTTATTCTCTGGATACTCTGGCCAGGCAGTATTTATGGGTAAACCTTTCCCCAACTCCCATTTTGTTGAGTGAAAATAAAACTAACACTATTTGCATTAGCAATATGGCCTTGACTATAGGCATGGAACTGGCCACGGCGTTGGTTCTTATCTTAATGTCCATGAAGGTCCCATAGGCATCGGCACACGCGCACAATACGTTGATGTCGCTCTTTCTCCAGGGAATGTGCTCTCTAACGAGCCCGGGTACTACGTTGAGAACCATTTTGGTATTCGGATCGAGAACATCATTATGGTGCGAGAGGTTGCCACAAAGTTCACCTTTGGAGATAAGCCATACCTTGGCTTTGAGCATGTCACGATGGTCCCCTATTGCCAAAGGCTTATCGACGTCAATCTGTTGACAGATGTAGAGAAGACTTGGATCAACAACTACCACGCAGAAATCCTGGAGAAGACTGGTCCATTTTTCGAGAATGACCCACTGACAACAGCATGGCTTAAGCGCGAGACACAGGCAATTGTCTAATGGGCTGGAGGTGCTCTGCGTACTCCTACAGATGAACAAATGCCGCCAGTGTAAACGTCAAAGCAAACGACGCGGTGAACCATGGGCTACCCCCCAACTTTCGCCACACTGAAGACTTGAGAAGAAACTTCTTTATTCCTAGGATCTGGGGAAGATCGATCCCGTAACGAGAAGTTACCTTGGCAAATAGGTTAGATCATTCGGTTACCACTGAGTAGAAATAGAGAGAATGCAGCTCTTACGTATATGGAGACTGCTAATATACTTCCCAAGAATGCAAGGGTGCGAGAGAAAATAGCAATAATCAAGCCACAGCCAAAGCCTAGAGCAAATGATGCAATTAGTTTTATTACCTGCTTTCCTCTCCTCCTTCTTTTCCTTCTTAGGAAGATAAAAAAATAAACTAAGCACAAATCAATCAATCTTACCAGCCATGCTGCCACTAGCGATCTGCTGAACAGCTTTTGTTGAAAGCCCAGCTCGTTGAGATTGGTGCTGCCGTGGAGACACGTCAATGGCATCTAATTGAATGGGCCTCGGTCTTAAAAGATATACGGTGCCGATGCAGGCTGCGCTTGGGGCGATCCCGGTCGCGAATAGCCGGCCTGCTCGCCGTAGAGTAGTTGCTCGAATCATGGTAGCCATTGGTTTTCTTGTGAGGGCTTGAAGGGGAAATGATAACAAGAGATGGAACCGATGCACAGGACGTCATTGAATGGCGCACAGGTCTATTTCAGTGGGTGGCAGCAAGGAACACTAACCTAATCGGGTACCAAGCTCGCTCGTTGCAGTCGGTGTCTCCCATTTTGAAGATCCTAGGTGATCAGGTCCAAGGCTTTCATCATGGCTCGTAACATCATCTAGGCTCTATTGTAGGGGATAGTAGCGAGCAGTATGTTCAAGATTCGATTATGAAAGCACGTGTGCTGTTATTATTGATGTATTTGAAGGGTAGAGATACAGATCCACACCCTTACGAGGTGATCCGAAATAAGTCAATAAAACAAAGATCCGTGAGACATGTCGCCCCATCCCTAACGCCAAACTTCCCAACGCTGGTATAAAAACAATATGTACTTGGCTTCCCGTCGCTTGGCTGCAAGCCAATTGTTGATAGTCGTGTGAAATCCTCCGGCTAACCCAGTCCGCCCCAGATTCCACGAATCCGCCTTGCTAGCTGGATATCCTTCTTCATCACAGTCACTCTTTTGGCGTGTATGGCGCAGAGATTTGCATCTTCGAAGAGATATACCATGTATGCTTCTGCAGCTTCTTGTAGTGCTTGAAGAGCCTGGCTCTGCCAACGAAAGTCTTTCCCGGCCGGCCGATACTGAAGTCCGATTTCTCGACACTGATTAAGGTCATGTTAGCTAAACTAGACTTGTCGACTATGGTTTAGACATTGTCAGTAGTGACATGTATGGACCTACCAGACGAGCGAATGGGAGTTTCTGGACAAGCAGCTTTGTGCTTGATTGAAACTTTCTGATTTCACGCAACGCAACGGTGCCCGGACGGTAGCGCCGCTTGGCTGGTACATAGACGGGATCACCCGCTACAAGGAGAATGATGTTAGTGCTTGTTCCAAGTATTCCGAAGGCAAATGATATATTTTGTCACATACCCTGAATATCCCCTGGGCGCGGCTTCCAGTTTCGTGGTGGTTTTGACGCATATTCCTTTTCCGACGGTCGCCAATTTTTGCGAGCTTTCTGAGCCGGCGATTTCCCAGCGGCAGGGCGCTTTGCGGCTTTCGAGGCGTTGGCCATTGCAAGTGCCAATCAATGCGACTAGAGGTTTTTGCAATGAGAATATGAAATATATGCGATCGGCAGAATCGAGTGAAGATCGGACTTCAGCGTTGGATTATCGAGGATATGTCGAGGGGAGCATTAGGAGAAGGATTGGAAACGCAAGGGGTGAACATGCCCCGAGATAAAGAAAGACGCGACTGGCCTTCCCAGCCCCGCGTTTTTTTAATTGAGTGCATGGATGTTAGTGGGGCGCCGCGATTCCGCCCGCCCAACCTCGTCCAGCGGTTGACTCTGGCCAGGGATGGGATCGACTGACAAGCCAGACTGATGTAGAGATCCGATAAGCTGCGAAGGGCAAAGTTGGGATGGCCGTAATCCGACTTCCCAGGACATGCATGCAGGTCTCATCGATACCCGGCCAACAATCGAAGGAATTGCTTAGATTACGTACCTCTTATGGCCAGGAAGCTGCTGACATAATTTCAACCTTATGGGGTAGGTGGGTATGCTCACTAGCTGAGACCGGCACCTAAAGCTGCCACGTTCACCAACCAAGTTGATTCATGCAAGCCTCGGAAACCTACCACACATAGCCCAAGGCCTTCGTCGTGATCATCACCTTTCTGTCCGAACTCTATCCCACCAAGACGCTCCTTCGACCCTTATGCGATATCTGTTTTTTATATGACCACAACCCCCGAGCTAGCAGGACCTCGAGAGGCACAATGGATCAGGTCTTGGATGGCGGCCGTCTCCCGCTAGAAACTTGGTTCTGGGAGATGCCTATAGTCACACGATGGTGGACAGTGGCAACAATCTCTACCAGCGCGCTCGTCCAGTGCCATATGGTAACACCATTCCAACTCTTCTATAGCTTCCGGGCTGTTTTCGTCAAATTACAGGTTCGTTACCCCAATCATGTTCCTGGCTGCCTTGCCTACTGCCGGCATCAATCGCTGACGCATCCCAGTACTGGAGATTGTTAACGACTTTCCTCTACTTCGGACCCTTCTCTCTTGACTTGTTATTCCACATATACTTTCTCCAAAGATATGCAAGACTCTTAGAAGAGTCTTCGGGACGGTCACCAGCGCATTTCTCGTGGCTCCTCATGTACGCCATGGCCAGCCTAATCGCGCTGTCCCCCCTCGTCTCGATGCCATTTCTGGGACACCCGCTGTCTTCAACACTCGTATACATTTGGTCGCGTCGTAACCCTGAAACAAGATTGAGCTTTCTCGGCCTCCTTGTCTTCACGGCGCCTTACCTGCCGTGGGTTCTGATGGGATTCAGCCTGGTCATGCACGGCACCATTCCGAGGGATGAGATAATGGGTGTGGTTATTGGCCATGTTTGGTACTTCTTCAACGATGTGTACCCCCCCCTTCACAACGACTCCAGACCACTGGATCCCCCTCGCTGGTGGAGGCGTCTGTTCGAGGGACCCCTCCCCAATGAGTCGGATAATGGAGGAAACGATGATATTCTGGTGGCTGGTCCTCGAGATGTCGCAGCACCGGAAATCGTAAATTAGATCATTAGATGTTAAGATTCTGCTGGGACTTGGGGAAAAGAACAAGGGAAGGCGTCAGGTGCAATTTTATTTTAGCAGGCTGCTAAACTCGCATTGGGACTTGGTATGACAGCATTAACTCAGCACGATGTAACGAAGTTTGCACAAATTCAGCACAAAAATTCATTGATTCTTCTGCTGCTTGCTCTACATCGGTGTCCGGTGTCAGATGTGTCCAGGCGGGAAAGCATTGGTGTGTATGAAAGCAAAATTGCGTTGCAAAGCGGATGGATGCTTCTCGAGATTTACCGTTTCCAGACATCTCGACCCAGAACTCGATTGTGTAATCTCTTACATGTCCTACCAGGCGATCTATTGCCGGTAGCTTATTGGCTGAATAGCCATGTGAGGTGGTTCGACGATCCTGCATTAGCCTCTGATCACATCATGTTTGACGGCGTTTCTGGTGCTGCTTATGATGGCGCGATTTGACTGCGCTGTGGTTGGTGGAGTTGGCCTGACGTAGTGGTGGACGGGCTATGACTGTTGAGGTCTGGAACCCCACCATCACCAGTCCCAAGCAAATAAATAGCTACCGCCTATCCGGCGCGATTATTCCTCCCAGATTACCTGACCGCAGATTCCGCTCCAGACTTACGTGCCCTTCCGTTCTATCTACGTCGAAAATGAAAGCCTACTTGTACGACAACTTGCCGGTACGTTCCCGACAGCGATCGAAGGCAGCCCCGCCAGCTAGCTAACTACTACACAGGGCGACCAGCGCCTCGCCCACGACTCTGGACGCTCCGTCGATGTCGAAACCTTGAAGAAGCTTGGAGTCCTGTACTTTCATTTAGATACCATTGAGAAAGTCAACGATCTCGCTACCGAACGAGGCTATAAGAATCGCGATGAGATCAAAGTCTCGCCCGAGACCATGGGTGAAGCATACGAAACCAAGGTCAAGTCGTTCTTCTCTGAGCACTTGCATGAGGACGAGGAGATTCGATATATCCGAGGGGGGCAGGGTTACTTTGATGTCCGTAGCCACGACGATGAATGGGTGCGAGTCCAGTTGGAGAAGGACGATTTACTCATTCTCCCAGCCGGAATTTATCACCGATTCACTACGGACGAGTCCAATGTAAGCTGCGACGACCCCCCGACGCCTAGATGCAATAAGCTTGGCGAGGGTGCCAGGATGCTAACGAGCCAACATAGTATGTACACGCTCTTAGACTGTTCAAAGACGAACCCAAGTGGACGCCCCTCAACCGATCCGGCGAATTAGATGCGAACCCACATCGCAAGGATTATGTGAACAGTTACCTGTCATAGGCAATACAGATTTACAGCTGCATGAATCCGGGTAATATGTTCCTGCTGTGCCTAGCTGTTCTAGAGAGCCTTACTACCTACACATCTTCAATCTAATCCCAGGCATCAGAGCTCCCTGGGTATGGGTTTCTGTCTTTGCGTGCAGCTAACGAGTAATCCTAAAAGTCGCTTTACACATTGCATTTGACAAGCATGGTGTGACACGGATAGGTGGGCCCTGTTGATTCTCTGTTTCGTAGGTTGCAGCTTCATTTCCCACTGGTATGTTGATATGTGTCTCAAAGGAAAGCAAAGAGCCTTCCTGAAATGTAATCCACTGATCTAAGCTGTGCCTCGGATGAAATTCTGTCCAAAGCACCGAAACCAGCGTCTACGAACCAGTTGCATGGTCATTATGACTAAGCGGGGCAATATAATTCCCTGCCGGCTGCGCCATGGTATACGTAGTATCTCAGGGGGGTGGACGCGCTGCTCAAAGCTGGCATCCTTTTTCAACGGCGAAGCCAACAACCGTTTACAAGGACATTGGTCGAGTTCCCTCTAGTCGCTCGTTAGCAATTTCGTTCGTAACCTACCCCTCGTCTACTTGTTTGCGAAATTCTACTTGTCGGCTTCGCCAAGGCTTTTTCGACCACCTCAATAATTTCGACCGATCGGCGACCCTGACCGATAATTTGGTTTCTTTTATTCATTGAGCCTGCGATCAACAGCCGCCATGTCGGACAAGAAGAACGAGGATTATGTCGTGCGTATGCCAGAGGGCTCCTATGAGCAGAAGGATAAAGGCTCTTTCAATGCCCGCTCGCCAGCATCGAGTTCGTATGGCGGGAACTCGCCAGCGCTTCCAAAGTCCTTTTCCAAGCTGGACAATAGCCCTCTGCTATCGGTTTTCGCATACTGTATTTCGTCCATCAGTATGACTGTCGTCAATAAATATGTTGTTTCAGGCCAGGGGTGGAACCTCAACTTTCTCTATCTCGCCGTTCAGGTATGAAATACTCGAACCAAACCGTTCTCCTTCTCCGACCTTCCCGCTCACGCTCAAGGCCTTAGGCAATCGTTAGTACTGCGACAATTACGGCCTGCCAGCAGGCTGGGCTCATTAGAAATCTGGCACCGTTTGACTCGGACAGAGCGAAGAAGTGTGCGTAGCGATTTCATTCACTGGGCCAAATTCGCAACCACTAATCAATATGCAGGGTTTCCCATCGCTGTTCTCCTCGTCGGCATGATTTACACTAGCACGAAAGCGCTCCAGTTCCTATCGGTCCCTGTCTACACAATTTTCAAGAACCTGACCATCATTGTCATTGCCTATGGTGAAGTTCTTTGGTTTGGCGGCAGCGTGACGCCTCTATCGCTTCTGTCTTTTGGTCTGATGGTGCTGAGCTCTGTCGTGGCTGCCTGGGCCGATATCCAGAGCGCCATCGCTGGCGACTTCGCGGCCCAGGACTCTGCTGCAGCAATGTCTACACTGAATGCCGGCTACGCTTGGATGGGTCTCAACGTCTTCTGCAGTGCCACATACGTTCTCGGCATGCGCAAGGTCATCAAGAAAATGAACTTCAAGGACTGGGATAGTGAGTTAAATCATTGTTGATTTTTTTCATTGTCCACACTCGCTAATTTTGACATAGCCATGTACTACAACAACCTGCTTACAATCCCTGTCCTCGTCGTCTGTGGCCTCGTTTCCGAAGATTGGTCCTCAGCCAACCTGGCCTTGAACTTTCCTGCCGACCAGCGCAATCGCATCATCATTGGTATGATCTACTCCGGTCTTGCTGCCATCTTCATCTCATACTGCTCGGCTTGGTGTATTCGTGTGACCTCTTCCACAACCTATTCCATGGTCGGTGCTCTCAACAAGCTCCCTATCGCTATCAGTGGCTTGGTTTTCTTCTCTGCCCCCGTCACGGTGGGAAGTGTATCAGCTATCTTCATCGGTTTCGTCAGTGGAATCGTTTACGCATATGCGAGGGTCAGGCAGTCAAGTGCACCCAAAGACTCGCTACCAACATCCCGTGCTGGTATGAGCGCTAGCTCACAAAGCAACCGGGATGCGAACAAATGAGCTATGACATTGATTCTCCGGCGTTGGTTGGGAGCATAGCCAGCAAAGATTCATCGTTAACATACTACATCATCATAATATATGGGCATACAAGGTACACGGCGAAAGTGTCTTTCTCTCGGGATCATATAAAGGACGTGGCGGGCCCTTATCTTCGCGGGCTCGCTGGCAAGGACATATTTACGCAGAAGCCTCGGCGATGTTGAATTTCTATTGCTGGGAGGAGGGGTTGTGGCGGAGTTATAGTGATTTCGTCATTAACTGCTGGTATTGAATTTGGAGTCGTGGGGTTCTAGATAGAAATCGTTTCGCTTCAATAAAACCAAGCAAAGCAGATGGCCGGGTAGCATGTGAGGTAAACTGCCCAGCGCACACAGTCTAAAGTGAGGCATCTTACCCGTGCACAGGTTCATGCGGACTCATAGCCTCGTTCATGTGATGAGGTAGATTGTTAGCATGATGGATGGGGATGCCCAATGGGCAGCAGGCCAAAAAGCGCAGCTGACTGTGTAGTAGATGGAGAGAATATCAACATTCACAGGGTAGTCACCAATCACGACTGCCATCGACAGCATGCCCCTAGAAAGAATCACAGATGCGATGTGACGTACCTGTGTGACGTATGTACTCTGGACGTGACCAAAGCTTTGTGCAGGCTAAGTTCGGCAGCCTGGACAGGGGCCGAGGGCAGCTGAGAGGTGGCACAACTTAGTCCCCAACAAAAAAAAGCTTATCGATAGGGTGGACCCTCCACTTCATACATAATTACTGGAGCTTCCCGCCAAGATGGATGGTGGGATGACGATTAGAGTCCTCCCTCTCCCTCTCCTGCTCTCTCTAGCCATAGATTGCTAGCGACAAAGAATAAGCATGTATCAATGATGTTTTAGGTCCCTCAGAATATCCCTTATCTTCACGTACCGACTCCTCAGTTCCTAAGCGGTCGCCCACCGAGCTCCTCAAGAACCATGATAACCTTCCTACATAAACGTACAGTCTTTGGCTTCTCCTACCCTCCATAGTGAAAGTATCTGACCATGCCTGTCGCGTTCTACAGCCTTCGCCTATGCGGCGGCAAAGATTGGGGCATCCCCGGATGAGCGTGAGTCGAAATCCCCTATTGTCCAAGCCCAAGTATTGTTTGAAGAGGATCAACCCAGCTGACCATGGCGGCATCTTGCCACTACCTTCCAGTCAAGCTTATTTTCTCTATGCTCCTATCGTATCCCTTGGCTGGCCTTCTCAAAAGAGTCCCTGATTCCAAACCTTGGCAAAAGAATCTCTTCAGCATCAGGTAGGCATTTCATATGCCGTCGCTAAACCGGTGAACCTAGCTAAATTCTCAAATGCAGTATATCAGTATTTTATCTTGTCGGCCTCTTCGACCTGTGGGATGGCGCCTTGACGATTTTCATAAGCTCCGCCGGCACGTACTGCATTGCCAAATATCTCCGATCGAGCGCATATATGCCATGGATTGGTTTTGCTTTTGTGATGGGCCACATGTCAATCAGCCATATCTCGCGGCAAATTGCCAACAACCCTTCTATGGTTGATATCACAGGCGCCCAGATGGTCATGGTGATGAAGCTCAGTGCCTTCTGCTGGAACGTAGCCGATGGTCGCCTGCCCGATGAAGAACTGTCTGATTTCCAGCGCGATCGAATGCTACGCGACCTTCCGGGCTTGCTTGACTTTGCCGGTTATGTGCTCTTCTTTCCCTCTCTGCTGGCTGGGCCCGCATTCGACTACGCCGAATACCGACGCTGGGTCGATACCACCATGTTCGATCTACCAGCGCAAGTCGACCCGTCGAAGAAACCCCCTGTGCGCAAGAAGAGAAAGATTCCTCGTAGCGGAACTCCTGCTGTATGGAAAGGTGCTTCTGGTTTAGTGTGGCTTCTGCTCTTCCTCACACTCTCCGGACCGTACGGCCACGACCAACTCTTGTCCGACTCCTACATGACTTACAATATCTTCCGCCGTATCTGGATCCTATATTTAACCAACCTAGTTGCTCGTTTCAAGTACTACGGAGTTTGGTCGCTAACGGAAGGCTCCTGCATTCTCGCTGGGTTGGGGTACAATGGCGTCGATCCTATTACAGGCAAAGTCTCGTGGAATCGCCTCCGGAACATTGACCCATGGGCAGTCGAAACTGCACAGAATGCTAGGGCGTATCTCGGCGGCTGGAATATAAATACAAACAACTGGCTGCGCAATTACGTGTATCTGCGAGTTACACCAAAGGGCAAGAAGCCTGGTTTCCGAGCCAGCATGCTTACTTTCGGGACCAGCGCGCTGTGGCATGGCTTCTACCCAGGATACTACTTAACCTTCCTCTTCGCCAGTCTCGTTCAGACAGCTGCTAAGCGTAAGTTGTCCATCTTGTGCCCATGCACCGGAGCCTTCATGACTGACTTGGTACCTTCGTTTCATCAAATAGACTTCCGCAGACACGTCCGGCCTTTCTTCCTTGACCCTCTATCCGGCAAGCCTTCGTCAAAAAAGAACTACTATGACATCGCGACGTATTTCGGTACCCAGCTGACATTCTCCTTCGCCACAACTCCATTCCTCGTCCTTCGACTTGGCGACTGTCTTCGGGTCTGGGCCCGTGTATATTTCTACGCCCTGGTCTGGATAGTGGGCGTTTTAGCATTCTTCTCTTCTCCCGGCAAGGCCATGCTAGGCAAGCAGCTCGAGAAGCGCCAAGGAAAGGCCAGCAAGAGGCTGGTTAGGACTATCAGTTCTGAGAGTCTTTCTGGCGGTCAACCTGTGTTGGGTATCTCCAAAGACCCTGAAGGCGATCTTGTTGAGGCGATCGAGGAGTTCAGAGCCGAGGTTGAAAGGAAGATGGCTGAAGAGTTGCAAAAGCAAAAGGCGAAGCAATAATTAAGCCTACACTGGCTCGATCGCGCACAGGATTTTCGCATGCAAGCCGGCTTTTGAAATGACTTGAGCTAAACCACTACTAGACGATCATTCACGTACAAATATATTTGAACAATTGAAAACACGGATCACTTGGAAAAACAAGAGCCAATCCGACAGATGAAGGAAATAAACAGAAGACTTTTATTCACACCAAGAAGCGAGAAGTATAAGTAGGCATGTGCGTATAAGATATATACATAAGTCATTAAAATCCTGAATCCGTAACACAGTCCATGAATTGTTTTACAAGGTAGCATGGACAACAAAGTGTATACCCAAAATTGGCGTAAAGCCCATCAAAGTCGTTCATCATGCTATCCGCAAGATACTGACAACGCTGTATAAAAGAAACAGTAGAAATGATAGTGTGAAATACAGTTCAGAGATCTGACACAAAAGATGCCAAGATAAATGATAGAAAAACATATTGAAAAAAGAAGAGCATCGTACGTCTGGTATCGTAGATCGAAGTTCAAATATCATATACAACATTTAGTCTTAAATGGTTCCGTGAATGAGTTAGTACGTGTTGGTCGCGTGTTGCTTTTGGTTCTCTTTCATCGTGAAAGTCGTAACCGCAGGGGCCAAAAGCCTTGCGGTAGGAAATGAATGTGATAAGAAAAGTTGACGTGAGAAGTGTTAAGTGTGCTGAATAGGCGTGTTTTAAATGATCGTCAGTTGAGTTCGTTTCATGAACGTCTGGTCCATTGCTGCTTGACGCCAACTATAATGAGTGCAATCACAGCGCCAATGACGAGGAGACCAACAATGGCCATCACCCGGTTAAGGTTCCTCCACCATCTGGCGGTGTTATATCGTGTCTCGTTTGCTGAATGAATGGCCTGAGACGAATCGTTTCCGTGGGTAAAGTCTAAATGACTGGTGCTGTTGTGCTGTTGTTGTGTCATTTCCAGAACCGGTTTAGGTGGCAATGGTAAGAAAGCTGCAACAATCCATACTGTTTCAAGAGTCAGTGGCTTCCAACATCTGATCTTTACAAAAAAAGTGTTGTCTTACCAAAGGGTAAAATGAATCCTGTGACGAACAGGGCGGTTTGACGGTTTCGAAGCCAGTCGAAGCCGCTTCCCTCCGAGCCTTCCTCGGGGGGCGGTCCCCAAATGTTATAGCGGCTAGCTCGGCGATCGAGGTGAAGATGAGGTGACCAGATGCTTGATGTTTGCTTCTTCACACGGCGGACAATACTAGCAACACGGCTCGGCGTCTCTTCGTCGCAGGGGCCTATCTCCGAAATAGTGGGTCTAGAGATCTCATTTTGATCATTCTTGGGATCTAGAATGGCTCCGAGAGATTGAGGTACCACAGCACTGGACGGCAGAGGAGCGTTGTGTTGTATACGCTCAAGTGAAGGCGAATGTCTCATGAATGCTTTGCCAGGGGGGGGTTGCTCGTTGTACAATGATCCATTATACAGAGACCTAATAGAATCTGAGGACGCTTGGGCTACTAAAAATCGGCGCTCGCCACTGCAGTAATACAACCTATCCTTATAATTAGACTTCTATATCAACGCGATTTGGGATAACTGAAGTAAACGTACCTTGCCCATGCGGGAAAAGAAAGAGGGTTTAAACTGCGTGTACTGGCCGAGTGTCGTAAGGCGTGTTCAGAAGCCAGCCGAGACCGGGAAGCACGGTGATGAAGCTGTACGTCGAGATCTGCAAGGCCATCGCCGTGCTCATCGTAATCCCGAATCTGCCTCATACTTCCCATCAGATCCCTTCCTGAACTGCGTGTGTGCAGAGCAACGGGTGGGTACTCGAGAGACGCGCTCCTGGAGTGAGAAGGTGGCAGGGTTATATCATCCAGTCCTGCGAGAGACGATGACATACTGAGGACATGTCTACTGTTGTTGCTACTTCTGCGGTCAGTTCCTGACCAGGGAGATAATGAGCGAGATGGAGCGACGCTGCCTCCTTCGCTTTCCGACATGACTGTTGAAAGAGGCGCACTCCAGCGGTGCGGATGAGCAGGCACCATCGAGCTTGAAGTGCCAGATCCCGAAGCCATCAAGCGGGATTTCTGTTTACGTAGACCGCCTTGGATATAAACAACCGAAGCAGCGCCAATGAAGAGGGAGCGGGTTGCCTCTTGGCTAAAACTTGACCCAATCGAAGATAGTGACGCACGGCGAAGGGATTCCCCAGAGCATGATTTGACAATGCTGCCATTATCAAACGAGTTACGCTTTGTCGGTCGCAGAGGGGCAACCAAGAGGCTCTCTTGTGAGAACTCTGGTCTGAGAGGGCTGCGGCCAAGGATGAGCGAGGAGCACGAGACTGAACGGCCATGGCGGACAAAGTTGACATCGCTGCTAGATGTAAAAGGTCGTTTTTGCTCGCGGATCGACTCAACATCAGATGATTCGGCCAGGATTTGATAATTGGACAGAGACTGTCGTGAAGATGGCGCGAAGCTTGCATCGTCATCAGCGAAATCCCCATGCTCCTCAAACTCGTATGAAATCCGACGGTCCACAGGACAAGGAGAGCTTTGCCCGTACACCTTGTAGTTTGTTCTCTCCGACAATGTAGAGTTCGAAGCAATCGACTGAAAGGACTGCTTTGGCTCGATAACTCGGTCGGCATCTTTTCGGCGGCTGGGCAAGATTGCAGGCATGGGCGGGAGGCTGGGGGATTTCTCCATATCAAAGACATGATCCTCTTCGTCATTATGGGTCTGGAGACATGAATCATCTTGGCTGGACTGGGATTGGTTGTCATCGATCTTAGGCATGGTGGCCCCTCGCATTCGCCAGGCAGAAGAGGCGAGGCGATTGCTCCGCGATGCCGTGGTTTCGTTTAAGGGAGCGGACGAATTGGACGAAAGCGACATGTCAGCGGGCCCAGGTGTCGCGGGTGAGCTTTCACGATCCTCGAGGATGTAGACACTGGAGGAGACTCGACCCCAGGATCCGCTGGGTGTGGGAGACGAAAAGGCATGAGAGGCAAACGAATCCGTCCTTGACGCAGCTGAGCCCGCGATCGGTACGAGTGAGAAAGTCTTGTTATCAGAATTGACGCTAATGACCCTCTTGGGCCGACGCGTTGTTGAGCTGCCTCCGGATGAAGATGCACGGCTCGAGATGCTCACATTATCGGAGTCAGGCTTGAGCGAGACATGGCCGGATGCAGTGGTTATGCTGGAAGGGGTTCGTTTCAACTGTCCTGAAACGTCGGGCTTCGGGAGTGCCTCATCGTGGAGGTGTGGGGAAGCGTTGTCAATGTCCGTGTGCAGGTGCTGGGCAGAAGAAAACGTCGAGGATGAGGTTTGGGCGGACCCAGCAGAACTAATCCGGGGTGGAGTGTAAGGAACGAGCCGAATCTGTGCAGAAGAATCCAGCTGGCGTGAAGGCCGCTGCGATGGCTTGGGCGACATGCTCAGCACTGACCCAGGATAAGACCACCAATCCTCAGGACCATGACGGCGATTTCGGGTCCCAGTTACACTTGGCCTCTTTGGTCGGCCAACGTCCTCGGTAGCAATTGAAGCTGATTAAAGTGCGCACGATGGGGAAAGCGGGAGCGGCTGAGACGGTGGCTGCTGTGTATCAGAGGCGACCTGGACAAAGAGAAGGAGTGCGAGAAGAGGGCGAGAGAGGTCGTCAAGTAATGCAGGCCGGAAGAAGTCGACTTGACAATTAGATTATTACGCGGTTGCCGTTTAACAGAAAAAGGAAGATGCAAATGAAAATATACCCAGGGTGAGGATCAAGAAGATATAACAAAACTGGAAAAGGGAAAAGAACAAAATGCAGATAGACAAGTGCTGCGAGAAAGCAAGTTCAAGTGAGTGAGTGAGTGACAAGAAGATTCTTAGAGCCTCAAAGACATCAAAGACGAAAATAGATGAGCGAGCGGCAGACAATTGGCGTGGATACAACCAATGTCCAGGACAAGGAAAGAGAGGAAGACAGACGACTGCCGCGGCAAGAAGAAAGAAGATGCAAAGCAAAGCAAGGCAGAGGGTGAAGCAAAGCAGAGCGAGCGGCAAGAACGAAGTTGTATGAGCTCCTGCAGCTTGGTAGCCAATTGATCCGCATCGGCTGGGTCAGGGACAGGCAAGGGCGCACAGACGGATAGACAGACAGGTCTCACCAGGTGCTCCAGCGGCCAGACCCCCGTGCCTGGCCCGTCCGTCGTATCTTCTCCGCGATGCACGGCCTGCGACAAGGGCTGACCGCCATACCGCTCTTTTGGCCTGGGCTTACCATGTCTGGCAGATCCAGAGGCGCAATCCTTGATTGAGTTTGATTACCTGTGCCTACGTGGTGCGCTGTAAATGGGATGGCTGAGGCAATTCCCCACCGCCCTATGCCTGTTCCTGGCGTCTGTCAGGACGTTCCACGGCGTTCCTCCACTCGAGATCCAGCCAACCAGCCTCCGCACCACCGGCCGTCATCCCATTCTCACCTGCCGCATCCTGGGTTGCAACTGCCACACAACTGTAGCTGCCCACTAGCACCTCCTAGACCCAGATAGCGCCTGCCCTTTGTGAAGGGGCGAGATATCGCGATTCAACATGGATAGTAGTACCTAAGGTAGTAGCTCGCGGAAAGAAGCCCAGCATACCGAGTCTGTCGCTCTGATCGCTATATACCCCAATTCCCTTTCGTGACCGAACCCAGGGCATTTATCTGGCCGAGGTTCTGAGGCACGGATCCCCGGAGACACTATCGCTGCACCCAAGTGGGATATTGCTGCAGCAGGGCTTCTCCTGCAGAAGCGATGGAAGCGGCCCTGCAACAGGTACAGCTTCGCCATTCTCGCCGCCAATTGGGTATCAGCTTGAGCCTGCCTGCCACCCATTTCAGTTCACTCTCCCCCTTGCCCCTTTTCACCCCTTCCCCTTCGCACTGCGATGGCTGAAAGTTAGTTGCCACCCACGGCTCAGCCATTTGCGGACTGATCTGGTTTGGGTTGGGTGAAATCTGTGCGCTTGGGAAAACTCTGCTTCGATGTTTGGCGCTCGGAAGCCATGCACTGGGCGGGGACCGTCTATTCCAAGACAGGGATGGCCTCAAATCCGGAACCTGATCCCTCCCCGCCGTAGCTCAATACCCGATTCATCAGGAGAAGCTGTTGCAGAAGAAGAAACGCGTCGGCTTCGCGTCTGGAGGCGCGCGCGTATGCTCGTGGGGGACGATCATGTTGCTTCATGCATGCATGTGGTGTTTGGGTGTCGACAAACTACATTTATATATATCTCTTGTATGCATGTAGTGCGCATGCGGCTTGTGTGCGTATCTGCGACATGGGTGAATATGTTTATGCCAACCGACGTATGCGTGGTGGGCATGTTTGTCCGGCGTGTATGTACTCCAAGCTCCTGTAAGGCGCTTGCTGAGGTTCGCATTGCAGCACGTACGTGCGACTGGCTCGCAGCCCGGCTCAAGCACGTCTGAAACTCGGCGCAGACCACTCGTTCTGCGTCAGATGGCTGTTCCACAAACCACCTCAGTTTGTCGGCTATGTGGATACCCAGGGCAGGTAGCATTCGTCTGTCCTAACCCGCTTGCCTGCCGGGAAACAGCTAATACTCATGCTGCGTGTTGTTACTATTGTTGTGCACTGTATTGTCTTGCTTTGTCTTGACGTAATCATCCCTTATTAGGGCCGGCCTGCTATTATAATGACTCAAAACAATACTAGCACCTCCGAGATAACCTCCCTCTCCCTACCTTACTTAGCCTACCCGGAAGTGCATGCGCATGACCATGCAAAGAACTAATATCATTGTTTTGTAATTCAATGTCTTTTCTAAGATGAAGATTTCTTTCTGTGAATGCATTTGCTCGGGCACGGGCCGTGTATTTGTAAAGAATCGGCATAAGATGAACTGCCAACCGGCAATATAGTGGGATGAATTACGAACTTGGTTCAATGTTGAGTGACATACAGAGAAACCTCTCAGGCAGTACCCTAACGTGTCGGCGGAGAACTTCAATCGCACTCAGCTTACCACCAAAAATTTAGCACCCACTTGCCTCTAATTTTTTTTCTCATACTATTTGGTACACACAATTTTCATCGTAAACGGGGTCGAGTGCTGCGAGGATTGACTTAACAGGTGAGAGGAGAGGATCTATCACATACCACGAGTTATGCCATTATAGCACACCACAGCACAGCCCAAATTCGTTCGCGCAGCACCTCTGCCACTCATGGCCAGCCCAACGCCCGACGCCCCAGTCGTCAAGGATGCCATTACTCAAACCCACGCCTTCGGATGCCTCGTGAGTTGACTCCGCAATTCACTTTTGCCGGTGTCTCAGAAAGGCGTCGAAGCTGGCTAACCTGGGCATGCATGGATGATAGCTGGCATACTGTGTCGTCTATGTTCTCCCACTTCACCTCTCGCCTGCGACTAGGGCCACACCTGGCCGCTCACGAGATGACCCCGGAGCCATCCGAGCCCGTATCAAGGCCGTATCTCTGTCTACGGCCGTATGCTCCATCATCACTCTCGCCATTCTGACGCTCTCCTCCCCCACTCTTGACGCCGAAGGCAGGTCCGATCATGCCTCAGCTTGGCATGCTATGGGGTATTGGCCTTTGGGTTTGCGCGAAACAGCCCACTCTGTTTTCTTAACCGCCCTGTTGTTTGCCGCCCCGTTGTATGAGCGACTTGTCATTGACGGCGCCTGGGAGGACTGGCTGCGTCTCGAGCCGCTTAGCACTGTCTGGAACGACATGCCCACCTGGAGGAACTTGGTTGTGGTATGCTTATTCTCTCCCCTATTCACTTTCGTTCCGCTTACACTCAGTGGCAGGGTCCCATTACCGAGGAGTGTTTATTTCGCTCCGCCGCAGTTCCGTTACTGCTCCTGGCTGGTAATGGTCTCTCCTCAACTGTTTTCTTATCCCCTCTAGTCTTCGGCGTAGCACACGTCCACCACTTCTACGAATTCCGTGTAACCCACCCTGACGTGCCGCTCGTTGCCGCCATTGCCCGCTCCGTTCTCCAATTCTCCTACACCTACCTGTTTGGCATCTACGCTACCTTCATCTTCCTTCGTACGGGCTCCCTTCTTGCTGTGATCCTGGTTCATTCCTTCTGCAATGTCATGGGTCTCCCCCGCGTCTGGGGTCTAGTAGAGCCCTACTGGCTCCCAGAGGGGACGAACAACGGCACCGTGAAAGCTCATACAGTCGTTTATTATCTACTTCTTTTCGGAGGTATGTTTTCTTGGTGGCAGGGCTTGTATGCCCTCACCTCTTCATCATTGGCCCTTGCCGACCTGTAATTTACACCATGGGGTGGCCTTCCCGGGTGATGTAGCTCATCTATCATACAAATGTCTATATATCCTTCATACATTTTTTTTTTTTTCAAAGAAACGCAGATCGCCCCTTTTCTATCATTTAGTGATGAGTGGTGTGGAGTAAATTCCGGAAGAGTACCGCTTCCTGCCTAGGGACGAATGTCTGTGTTTATATTAGGGAGCGAGCCAGGCATCTCGAAATCGTCTTCTTCCTTGGCTTTTCGTCGCTGTCGAAGAGAGGCTTGCTCGCGGTTTTCTTCCTCGGCTGCTACCTCCTTCCGTGCCTCTTCGCGTAGATCCCGGGCGATATCCTTGCCTTTAGTTCGTGACGTTGTGCTGGCGCTTTCAGCCATGGTATCGTCAGGGCCTCGGGTATTCTTTTTCCGTGGCCACAAACTGGGCAGCGCGATTTCCTGGAAACGAGGTTCTACAGCTCGCTCATCGAACCATCGGTGTAGACGAGCTTCCACGAGTTGCGCAATCTTCGGTACGTCCTGTAGGCGTGAACGGCTACCGAGAAGACTGCGGATGGAGAAATCCAGCCGATAGTCATCAAGAAAGCTAAAAGTCATCATGGTAGGCGTGGATTGTGATGGATTGCTGGGGATGAATGAGATAGACAATGTTCCGCTGAAGCGCACAATGGACACGGCCAAAGCCACAGGCAGGACAGCCGAGAGCTTTTTGGGGTAGTTTAGGAGAAGTTTTGTCTCAAGCGCCAGCGTAAGCATGTCACTCAGATCGACATCCATCCGAGCTTGTAGACGAGTCCCATCCGTGGCCGCTGTGGCCGGGTCGAAGTTCCTCCCATTGCCTAGGCTCAGGCCGTCTTCATCAACCGGGATGATTCGACAGTTGCTGAAAATGGGGAAATCGTCACCTAGGCTCAGCTCCGTTACTCGGATTTCGTCCAGAAAATCGGGCCGCGACGTTCCATTGAGTGCCTTTGTCAAAGAATTCAGGATGGCGTCGTCATGTTGTGCATCGCTGCGAAATTGCGCAAGAGTCTGGGCGATCAAAACGTTGAACCAGTCTAGACTTTCTGGTTGATGACTGTCTACGTTGTAATACGTTTTGCTCAGAATAGACCCTATCGTCAGGGACGGAGGAGTTCTCAAGATGGTCGACTTCTTGCGACTGAGTAGTTGTCCTTGTCGGCTGCTTGGCCTTCTGAGGCTGAGTAACGACTGTTTATGAGCCAAAGTCCTGGACCGTCTCTCAGTCGCCCTCAGTGATGCCGTGACATCTGGTGATGGAGGGTCGCCAAAGATGAAGAACTTGATGAAAGCGGCCAAAATTAGTACCATGGATAATTGGCCAACAATGAGCCCTTGTGTAAATGAAAGTCTATACGTTGGATTAGCTAAGTGGCATGCCTTGCGCAAGCACCTGGTGGTGGCACCTACGTCGGCTCTGGAGGAGGAATGGGGCATGCTTCAGACGCCATGGCTGGCAAGGCGACCAGGGATAATCCCGGAGAGTCCTATGCTATGGAAGGTGTAGGACCAAGTTGGATATGCCGATTGTTTGCGCGCGCGGGAAGAGGAGGGGTCCCCATGTGTTGGGCAGGTAGCTGTTCTTCCTTGGAACGTGCGCTTTCTGGACGGTATGAGATCTCGCACCGCGAAACCGATCTGGGTCGCTGAATATATATACAGCAGGCAAATAACAGGCGGCCCTAATTGGGATCAATGTCAAAGAGTAATAATTGAATTCTCTGCTTCATCCGTGGCAACTCTAAGCTGGCGGCTTGCCAGCTAGTCGCAAGTTGAGGGTCATGGCAATCCTTGTACCGAAGCCACTTTTCACTCACCTGGTGGAGTATCAAGGCTATGCAGCTAACGGGGCGATCCGTTAGCTAATGACGACAACGCCTCTTCTAAGAGCGACGTCTCATCAACAGAGTTACAAGCCCGCGACAGCAGTTCAGCGACACCAGGACCCCCAAGGCATAGCGTATTCAAGAAAGAGATCCCGCAGTTTTGTGGACAAATCGGTTGCACCACTCTGACGCCTTCACATCTAAATTCTTGGCTAGCTCCGTGGAATGGTCCAACTCCACAACAACTGAGAGAGGGCGCTCGTCTATTTAGCAGGCTTGCCCAACATGGACGTTTCCCAAGCTATTGCGGGTTATGTCTCCCGGGTGGTGGCCCCGAGCAGCGACGCTTTATCTGCCCCAGCTTCCTCCTCGAAAATGAAGACACTGTTGCTGGACAGGGAAACAGTCTCAATCGTGTCCACCGCCGTGACACAGTCATCCTTGTTAAACCATGAGGTGTATCTCATAGATCGCCTAGACAATGCCTCGAGAGAGAAAATGCGCCATTTGCGCTGTCTTTGCCTTGTCCGGCCTTCCCCGGAGACGATACAGCTTCTGATTGACGAGCTGCGTGACCCTAAATATGGCGAGTACTACCTCTATTTCACCAACGTGGCCAAGAAATCGGCTCTCGAGCGGTTAGCCGAGGCTGATGACCATGAGGTTGTCAAGTCAGTTCAAGAGATCTTTGCCGATTATGTTGTTGTCAACCCTGACCTCTTCTCACTCAACGTCACACTGCCGCAACGCAAAATCTGGGCTGGCAGTCCTGATACATGGAACCCAGACACACTCCAGCGCTGCTCTGAAGGCCTTAGCGCTGTCCTCCTATCTTTGAAGAAAAAGCCATTGATCCGGTACCAGAGAAGCAGCCCGCTAACGAAGAAACTGGCTGCTGAGGTGCGGTATCTCATGTCCCAGGAAGCGCAACTGTTCGATTTCCGGAGAGTTGACACACCGCCTATTCTTATTATTTTGGACCGCCGTGAGGACCCGGTCACACCCCTTCTAACTCAATGGACATACCAAGCCATGGTCCACCATTTATTGGGCATACATAACGGACGCGTGGACCTCAGCGATATCCCAGATATTCGGCCAGAACTGAAGGAAATCGTTTTGTCTCAAGACCAAGATCCTTTCTTCAAAAAAAACATGTACCTCAATTTTGGCGATTTAGGTGGCAATATCAAGGAATACGTCGAGCAATACCAATCCAAAACAAAGAACAATGCGGACCTGGAATCTATTTCTGATATGAAGCGGTTCATTGAAGAATACCCCGAGTTCCGGAAATTGTCAGGAAACGTCAGCAAACATGTTACACTTGTATCGGAATTGAGTAAACGTGTCGGTGCAGAGAATCTGCTGGAAGTGAGTGAGGTCGAGCAGAGCCTGGCTTGCAACGACAATCACAGCACAGATCTAAGAGTGAGTATCCATTATCCTGTGCTTTGAAACACTTTACGGTATTAGCTACGAATGCTGACCCCATGTAAAAGAACATTCAAAGGCTTGTAGAAAAGCCGTCAGTAACTCCAGAGAATAAGATCGGCCTTGTTGCTCTGTATGCCCTTCGATATCAGAAACACCCACAGAACGCAATTCCAATGCTCGTTGAGCTACTCACTGCCGCTGGAGGAGTACCGGGCCGACAGGCTGAACTCATCAACCACGTCTTGACCTACCACTCATCTCTGCATAGCTCTCAAGCGCAGGGGGGGATTTCCGATATCTTTGAATCGGCCGGCATCTTCTCCAACGCCTCCAAGGGTTTCAAGGGCCTGAAAGGTGTAGAAAATGTTTACACCCAGCACAGTCCTCTGCTGGAAACGACATTACAAGACCTAGTCAAGGGGAAACTGAAGGAGCAGCAGTATCCTTTCGTCGAGGGAGGTGGATCCACGAAGGACAAGCCTCAGGATGTTATTGTTTTCATAGTAGGAGGAGCAACTTACGAAGAAGCAAAGATGATTGCAGGGATCAATGCTTCTATGCCGGGCGTTCGCGTCGTTTTAGGTGGTACTTCGATTCATAATTCAGCATCATTTTTGGAGGAAGTGGAAGAAGCGGTAACGTCGTGGCCCGACAGTCGGACCAGACGCTAATCTAGTTTTTCGCATGTAAATAGATACCTAGACTGGTGATTTGGTTTCAATTTTCAATTCGAATATGGACAGTGCTTTGAGAAAAGGGATACGACCAGATCAGAAAGAAAGTAGAAAGTAAATCGACATATTTTGGGATAGTTGGGTGGATGGATGCTGCTCCTAGAAACTGCCCCTCTATATGCATAAGCCTATCACATGCGCCGTCTCTGATGACATACCCTGGGCAAAAAAGTTGAGATCAAGAACCCGCAACCCTGAACACAACGAGCAGCACCATTGATCCCCCGCACATTGCTGTAGGGCTGTCTTCGTATCAGAGGCATGCCATGCAAGCCTTATTAAGGTCGAGGTTGGCTCGGCTGCCACACCGGGGATATGTGCGACATCCTTTCCGTGCCCAGCGCTCTTTGGCCACAGTCTCCGATGACAATAGGTTTGTCGCATCCGTCGCAATCCTCATATCTGCACTAGACAAGATGATTGACATTAATTTTGTTTTGATCTAGACCGTTTGATGTCGTCGTGATTGGTGGTGGTCATGCTGGGGCAGAAGCATGCGCCGCAGCAGCTAGAACCGGTGCCAGAACCGCCCTTATTACGCCCAAGATCGAAAATCTCGGAACTTGCTCATGCAACCCAAGTTTCGGCGGCATCGGAAAGGGGACGATAATTCGCGAAGTAGATGCTTTGGATGGTCTGGCTGGGAGGATCATTGATAAGGCTGGTGTTCAGTTCCACGTTCTGAACCGAAGCAAAGGACCTGCGGTCTGGGTATGTTTGAATGGATGGTCGTTCCTTGTAAGCTACCTTATTGACATATGGATTAGGGCCCTCGGGCACAAATCGATCGGAAACTATACCAGAAGCACATGCGCGAAGAGCTGGAGTCATACCCGAACCTGTCAGTCGTTCTCGACAGTGTATCCGACCTCGTACTTGCAGAGAACCAAGATTCCGAAACCGAAGGACATCGGTCCAAAGTTGCCGGAGTTCGTCTCGAATCCGGCCGCATCATACCAACTACTTCAGTTGTCATTACGACAGGAACATTTCTGGGGGGCGAGATCCACATCGGCTTGCAAGCATATCCAGCCGGCAGAATTGGCGAGGCTGCGACCTTTGGGTTGAGCAAGTCTCTCAAGGACGCCGGTTTTCAAATGGGCCGACTGAAAACCGGGACACCACCGCGACTAGACAAAGCTACGATAGACTTCGGTACGCTTGAACCTCAGTTTGGAGATGACCCTCCCACCCCGTTCAGCTACTTGAATAGTCAGGTCGTAGTGAAGGACCAACTCTCGTGTAGCATCTCGTATACAAGTCATGCCACTCACGAAATCATTCGCCAGAACCTCGACAAAACAATCCATATCAGGGAAACCGTCAAAGGACCAAGATATTGTCCTTCATTAGAGGCTAAGATAATTCGGTTCCCCGAGAAAGCTCGTCACATTGTCTGGCTTGAACCAGAAGGCTTTGACAGTCCTGTTATATACCCCAATGGGCTGTCAATGACGGTACCCCCAGAAGCACAAGAGGCTATTTTGCGCAGTATTAAGGGTTTAGAGAATGTCACAATGCTCCAACCTGGGTATGGTGTGGAGTACGATTATGTTGACCCACGTTCGCTCAAGAGGACACTGGAGACTAAATTCATCGGTGGCTTATATCTAGCTGGACAGATCAACGGAACTACTGGATACGAGGAGGCTGCAGGCCAGGGTGTTTTGGCCGGTATTAATGCCGGTCGAGCTGCTACTGGGCGACCCGGTGTGTCACTTTCTCGTTCCGATGGCTACATTGGAATTATGATTGACGACCTGGTGACCAAGGGCGTGACGGAACCTTACCGAATGTTCACCTCGAGAAGCGAATTTCGTATGGCTGCCAGAGCAGACAACGCAGACTTGAGGCTTACCGAAAAGGGTCGACAATGGGGGGCCGTATCGGATAGGAGATGGACGGCATTCAATGATGAGAGAGACCAAATGAACAGCCTCACCAAAGCACTTGAGGCTGTGTCCTTGAGCTCGACTCAATGGGCCGAGAAGGGCTTCGCATTAAGGAAAGACACCCGTCGCCGAACAGGTATAGACCTCCTTCGATCATCACTCAGCAACACTGTTGGCAGCTGGATCCCAATGGACCGCCTCACCTCTGTACTCCCTGAAATCACTCAATACCCAGCTCGTGTAAGGCAGCGGGTGACAATCGAAGCTACCTATGCACCTTATATAAAGATGCAGGCATCAGAGCGATCCAAATTCATGAACGATGAGCAGATCCTCCTTCCCACAGACTTGAACTACGACACTGTTCCGGGCCTTGCCATCGCAGAGAAGCAAGTGCTTAATGCAACTCGCCCTGAAACTCTGGCCCAGGCTCGACGTGTGGAGGGAGTCACTCCTGCAGGGAGCATAAGGCTCTTGGCATATGTTAGGCGCCATGGGATCGCTTCCTCTACGTCGGAGCTGGAAGCCGTCCCTTAAATCTACGCAAACAACGAATAATGTAACTTCAATCATTGTATAGTAAAGGATTATAGACGAGGGGCTTTGGGAGCGAAAAAAATAACGGATTTGTTTGTCATGCATGGCCGATCGCAACTTTGGAGAAACATTTGATGCTTGGTTAAAAGTTTTATTCTTTTTTTTTTTCTGTACATTTCTTATGAAACCTGATATCTACAAAATTTGGCCTAAATCATACAGTGGAATACTTTATGCATGCGAAGTCGATTACTTTTGCCCTTTAGAGCCAGCCTTTGGATGGTTAAGAATTTTAACGGCGTCTTTGCTGTATATATAACTGGCACCACTCCAGACTGTCGTTGTCGCTACAATATATCTAGCCGCTGGTTAGCATACACGGCTCAAGAATATCGCTCTGAGGACATAGGACGGTTGCCATACTGCATGATGGTAAGAGCTGATGAAATATCGGCAGTGATTAGTGGTGCGGCTGTGGTAATGCCGATCAGGCCTACTTGGAGGACAGTGTTGTATTTGCTGATGGTGGTGGGATGGACTTCGGCGGATGGCAGAGAGAAATCCCAATAGCGGGAGAAGGTCTTGGGAGGGGGAAGAGAGATCCAGCGATAGTAGATTGCAGAAATGGCGAGGCCGACATCACGGCCAAGAATTATGACAGCAAGCCAGACTACGTCGTGTTAGTGGTCACACTTTCCACCGTGGTGAGATAACCTACCCGGAAAGGCCCCCTTGATAGCCAGGCAAACTGTCAAAATGGTCATGAGAGCCTTGTCGGCCATAGGATCAATGACAGTGCCCACAACAGTCTTGCGATTCCACCGTCGTGCGATCCATCCATCTACTAGATCGGTAATGCCGGCGTAAGCGAATAGGCCGGCAGCCCACGCATGCTGGTCGTGTAACACCAGATAGCCAACAATTGGTGCGGCGATAAGGCGACTGAAGGTGAGGGCGTTCGGGATGTTGTAGATATCTTCGTGTAAGACTGTGTCTTTGGGTTTGGAAGAAGTCGTTTGAGATAGGTCTGGAGTTGAAGTCGGAGACTTATGATTCAGGTCCCTAGTGTTCAGAAGAGCAATTGGTTAACTAGTCGCAGATAAACGAGTAATGGATCTATAGCCATAAATGATGGAACCTACTTCTTGTCTTGTGAGGGCTGTGTAAGTAGCCTCGTCGTGGTTGTGAAGCAACATCGCGAGTTCGTAGCGGGACGTAAAGTCAGTCTTTGCAGGCCCAGTGCCGGCGAGCGATGGACGCGACCAATAAAACTAGAAGAGAGAAGCATGGCGCTGACTTGAGCTGCCAGCGGGCACTCTCTTCCTCCGACTAACTGGTTCAAAATTGACACTTCCGGGGTTGTGACAGAACTACCCTGTTGATGAATTGGGGTCCCGCAACGGGCGTTGAAGATCTGTGGTCCAGATTTGCTGCAAGGCACTTGGATGGTGTCATGGTGTGGCACCACGGTGTGGCTGATGCTTGTGGTAACTCAGCACCACTATCGATAAACCCGTTCCAACCTCAATTCATTTACCCTTGCGCCTGGCTCCAATCGTACTCTAGGATGCGACAACTTCATGACAAACTACTAGACCCTACAAATGTTGATATTCTCTTCTTTCTGAATATCTATTCGGGCTTAGCCTGGCATTGACGGCATAGAATTTCCTCACGATTTTGCTATAGGGTCTTAGCCTTTTGTCACCTCTCGACCCCTAGTCCCTCGCCCATCACTCCCACCTACTCCATCAGCAAGTGTCTCTGGCCCGTACCCTCTCGTGGGGTAGCTATATGAGTAGCGACTATGTCTTTGGAACCACTCGCGTCCCCCCATAGCGTTTCCGACTCGGGAGCAGCTTTCACAAGCTCCTCCGCCCTCGACTTCCTCCTCATCGAACTGGTCCCTCTTGCGTACCGGGTCACTGGCGAGACCCTGCCCCCTCGTTATTCCGAGAGCAATGGCGCCGGAGCTCCTACCGCCGCTGGTGCCGCCACGATAAGCACCGCAAATACACAGAATACACCGGCAAACGGAACTGCCCCCTCGGCCACTTTCCCTAGCCGCGTGGACGAGGACGATGCCGCAGATGCAGCAAGGCATAGGCTTGAGACATTGGGGTATCGGGTTGGCCAGGGTTTAGTGGAAAGGTTCGTCCTTCGACTTGTATGTCTTTACCGTGGCTGAGACTAACCAGATCGCTCCTCTCAGGTTCTCCCGAGACCGCCCTCGATTTAATGACACCCTCGACGTCATCAAATTTCTTTGCAAAGACCTCTGGTCTCTTGTTTTTGGAAAGAACATAGACAACCTAAAGACCAACCACCGGGTTCGTGAAATATTCCAACATATGCACGATCGTTCACCAACGCTAACAAGTGTAGGGGGTGTATGTCCTAACCGACAATGTTTTCCGCCCATTCACCCGTATGAGCACAGAAGCTGGCGGCCAAGCAGTGGTTCGCGCTCAGCCAGTACGTTTGTCTACGCTTGACCTCCTCTTTAATCCTCACGATGGAGAGACTTTATTGACTTCTGGCTCCAGTTCTTATGGTTTCCTTGCGGAATTGTTAGAGGAGCCTTGGCCGCACTGGGCATCGAAGCTACTGTGCAAGCGGAAATCAACGAATTGCCAGGAGCAGTGTTCCAAATTAAGACCATTCCTCCAAAATCTTAAATTCAATTGAACCTAACCCGATATTGTAATATACGAATGGGGACAACCCGGCATCGGACCCTCGATCCTTACTATTAGTTGGCTTTTCCTCATCAACACACCACATATCTTTACCATCTGTCGCCCATATACCAGCCTTCTACAATATGTACTGAGGAAGATACTTTGAGTCTGAACAAAACAGATCGAACTGAAACGGAACTATCGCGCGCTGCCCAATCAAATGGGACATCTTACAGCCTATAAAAATGAGAAACGTATCAGCAACCCGCACTTTTAACAATTTTCATTCATTCATTAAGCCTAGGTTGGTAGCTAATCTTCTTGAAACAAGCCTCCTTCACTCGGCAACCCTGCTTAACGAGTCAAAGAGTCATCTTATAGGGAGGGGATGATTCACTTTTGGGGTGGGTTGTGGGCGAAGTCAACGCCCTTGGCAATGTTGCCCTTGAGGTCTTCGATAGCCTTGGTCAGAAGAGCCTGCTCCTTCTCGGTGATGCCCTCCAGGGGATCGATGGCCTTCTCAGCGCCGTTGGGCTGTGGGAATTTGGTCAGCTCAGAGCCACACAAGCAGGAAGCAAAGTTATGCTGAATATGTACGTACACCAAGCTCAATGGGGACAGAGAAGAAATCAGTGCCGGTCTTCTTAGCGATAGCCTCACCTCCGGGGACACCGGGGAGGTAGACGTAGCTGGGCTCGACGAGTCCCTTCTCGCCCTTGATGGCCCGAAGTACCTTCTCGGCAAATCTATATTTGAAACCAGTGGTTAGATGATTGATGGGCATGATGCTTTCTCGATTTATGATCAACCTACCGGAAGCCAGCATAAGCCATTGAAAGTGTTGCAGAACCGCCGCCATTCTTGGCAGTGACAACTTCGTCACCACCGAACTGAACTCGGTGGACAAGAGCATCGTACTTGTCATCAGGGATGGTCACTTGGGGTGAAGCCTTGCTGAAGAGTGGGAGAATCGTGGGGCCAGAGTGACCGCCAACAACGGGGATGGTGAGCTTCTGGGGTTGGGACTCGCCAATGATGCCAGCGACGAAGGTTTCAGCACGGACGATGTCGAGAGTGGTAACACCGAAGAGACGCTGAGGGTTGAAGACACCCTTGCCCTTGAGAACCTCAGCAGAGATAGGAACAGTCGAGTTGACAGGGTTTGAGATGACAAGGATGAAGGCCTTGGGGGCGACTTCGGCAGCTGTCTCAATCAGGCCCTTGACAATGCCAGCATTGATGTTGAACAAGTCATCACGGGTCATTCCCGGTTTGCCTAGCTTGGAATTAGCCTGTCGCTTTCTCGATATCAGGGGTTGGCGCCGGACATACGGGGAATGCCTGCGGGGATGACGATGATGTCGGCGTCCTTGAATGCCTTCTTAGCGCCATCGTCGGCAGGAAGGTATCCCGTCACAACCTAGTGTGCTAGTCAGTGGGAGGGGTTCCCCAGGTCCTAGCTCAGCCGGCCCAAAGGAGTGAGCGGAAGCAGCGGGGGGACTCACAGCGGGGGAGGAGATGTGGGAGAGATCGGCGGCCACGCCAGGAGTGTTAACAACATCGTAGAGGGAGAGCTCGTCAATCAGAGGGCTGCCCTTGAGGAGCAGTGACAGGGGCTGGCAGTTGAAGACCGATTAGCAAACGTTCGTATATACCAAGATGTAGAGTCTGGGGTGGTCGCAGATTCGAATATTAGAGCACGTACCTGACCAATGCCACCGGAGGCACCTGCGACAACTGTATTTGATCTTTTGTCAGTGTTTGAACAGGTCGCATGGAGCTAAAACTGCATAACTTATATAGCAATGCGGGGTTGGGAGAGAGGGTCGTTACGAACCAGCCTTGACCATCTTGACGGACTGTGGGATGTTGAGACTTGGGGAGGCGGGCGAAGATGGAAGAGACGTGGTAAATGATGATGGAATGAGAGCTGTGGGAGAAGGAGAATGAAGGAGTAGGGAGGGAAAGCTATCTCTCTTGGGGGTGGGCTGGGTTGGTTCTTGTAGTCAGAATCGAGCCAGCTCTGGCGCGATCTCCCCACCAGAAGCTCCTCCTGTCTGGGGACGGGAAATGAGGGGCAGGAGGGAGGGGCAGTGGCCAATTACACCACCGGCGATAGGTCGGAATGCCGCATACGGAGCAGATAGTGGTACAGTCTGGATACTCTGCTGCTAGCAATAAGCTACTAGCTCTGGCCCTGCAGGACTTTGCTGAGGGTTTACTTTCCCAATTATGCAATCCCATCTTGTCATGTGGAGAGGGCGGCGTTCACGTACGATGTACCTCTTCGGCCAGCACCGCCAACTCCCCGTGCCATCGCCGCCATTTTCCCCTTAGGGCGGGGTCTACAGGTTAGGTGGCAGCTGCCTCGCCGTGCTCGCAAATTCGGCTTCGGGGTATATAGAGGGACACCTTCAACATGAGAAATCAATTCTCGAGACATGATCTTTGCGCTACTTTTTTCTCCTACATATAATTGCTACCGTATAGCATACCTAGGGATGGGGATCCAACTGTCCTAACGCTCCGGCTATTACCGACTTTCACAAGCACGTTCTTTGGCTCCGGCCTAAGTAAACTACAAGCCCGAGGCTCATCTATCGGAAGCATATGACGTCTCTCGGATATCCAGGCAGATGCGCCTGCAGCACCCGCAACGTACATCCATCGTTCTTGAAGACGACTTGGCTTGTTGATTAAGGCCTGGTGATATCAATATGCAGAGCCGCACAGGCTGCACCGCCATGATGCCACTATACAGCGCCTAGCTGGCTTCAAAAATTGCGATATTTGCAACTGGCAAGCCCTATCTTGGCCATTAGGAATTATTAATTGACTTGATTTCCTGGATTGCTAGGATAGGTGGCAGTTACGACTCGTGTGAGCATATTCAGGGCCATCTGTCGATGTATGGTAGGCTACCCAATGGCTCGTCTAAGTCAAATGGCTTCATCTTCTCCGGCTTTGCAACCATTACTCTGGGCCGCCCAAGCTCAGGCATCGGCTACAACGATAAGCACGAATATCCTCCACCTGCGTAACCGTTTGCCTCGACGAAGGTTCATCGGGTGGTTCCGACCTCTGCCGAAGTCAACATGGAAACCATCACGGCAAACCATCACGGTCAGTTACCGAGGCACTGTCGGAGGAGTACGGCAATGCTCGCGCGCACGCACCTTCAGTGGCTACCGGCCCATTATCGATGCCTTCCATTTCTTACAACCAGTCGGCGACATGCATTAAGCCAAAGCAACAACAGGTCCTTGTTCATTTTTTTAAAGACCGGTAACCCGCCGCTGGTGAGAGAACGTTGCGCATGTCATGGCTGCGACACGGATAATATCTTCTCCGTCAAAGTCATTTCCGCAAAGTCTGCAGGTCCAGCCACCGGTATACTTCACAATGCAAGAGGCAATCAATTGTAGTTTGATGTCGAATTTCTTTTGTTTAAAATTCCCATGAAGCCAAACCCCGGCCGTGCGGTCCGTCTAGTTCCACAATGATGGAATAATGCTGTTCCATGCCTTGAAAAGCGAAGGCGAATCCCCTTTGCTCCTAACTAAGACCCGTCCAAATATCTCCATTCAACCTCTTACGAGGAGGCCTCAGCCTTCTTAGCCTTGTTGCCACGGAGCTTCTGCTCGGGCTCGGGCTTGACGGGGAGGTGAGATCGGCGGATGGCAGAGACGCGCTGAACAGCGGTCTCGCGCAGGTCAGCACGGTAGCCGTTCTTGGCGGTCTGGTTGGCGACAGCCTTGTAAGCCCTAGATGCATGCCCAGTTAGTTATTGTTCAAGACTTCTCTCATCGATAGTGCAGTCCTTACTTTCGGCTGGACTTGGCGCCGCTGTGCTCAGACTTGAGGAAGGCCTCCTTAGGCTTGTTGGGAGCGGAAGCCTTCTTGGTGATGACGGTGAAACCCTTTTCGTTGCGAACAATACCGACGGCCTGTGAAAATCATATGTCAATTTGTGAATTTCGCATTGGAACTGTTCTCGTGCTTCAAACGCACCTTGTCGTTGACGAAACCGGCCTGCTTGCGGCTGTTCTTGTTGAGAAGGTTCAGGGGGTCACGGGAGAACTGGGCACCGCCATTTTGCTTGCTCTTGGTGAGAAAGCTGTTGTTGTTGCCTAATCATCGGAGGGGTGATTGTTAGCAAAGCTCCAATTGCTCCCGAAAAAAACCTTGGGTTGTAAAAATGTGTCTGTCAATAGAACTACTTACGGGTGATCTCCCAGATCAGGTCCGAGGAAACGTTAGAGAAGGAGGCCATTGTGAAAGATTTTATGGATGTTGACTTGGGAGTTCGAGTCGTCCGGAGTTCTTTGTGAAGCTTCAGTCGAAATTGATTCCGTCGAAAGTGTGGGCTCGCTTAATTGCCGTATTACGGTTAGTGCTATCGAGGCTCTTATCGATATCCTTATCGGCGAGTCTTGCAAGGGAGGCCGTCCACCTCACTAGAGGGGCAGTGAGGACCCACAGTGTTCACGTCAGCTGTTTCTGGATTCAGCCGTTAGTCCTCTTGATGACCGTTCTCGCCCGGAGGACCTATTGATGGCGACGACACCTACCTCGGACGTGCCCCAGCTTGCTTCTCTGCAATGATCTCTCACTAGCAGAATTCACGTTTGATTGAACAGCCGACTCGAAACACGTTCTTCCACTTCTTCGATCGATACCCGCCTACCGAAGCCGCTGAATCCGATACACCCGTTGCCCTGACTCCTTCCCAACCATCCATTCCATATATCACATCAGGATGGGTTACGTTCTCTACTCCATATGTTTTTCATTCATCTTATTTGTGACGGCTGTGGTCGTTACTCGCAGCTACTGGCTCCCGCTTCTTGAGGATGTTCATCTCCCAGGAGCCGACTACCTCTACTCGCGCCTACCAACAAGCTTCGCGGACGACATCGAGGCCGGCTTGTCCAGTAGCAATTTCGATCTCAACGCAAATGTGGAGGCCGGAGATAGCAGGCAAGGTCTAGACACCGCCGCCAAAGCAGAAATCACAAAAATCATGAAGAAGAGGCGGATGACATTCGACCAAGCCAGGAAGGTATACATGGAAAACCGGTTCAAAGCCAACGGCATCGGGCCTGACGGTCTCCCACGAGATCCCAAGTTCGTGAGCTTCTCTTAAGAAGTGCTGAGAACAACGAATCGACCTTTTTTTCCCCTTGAGTCTGCTCGACATTCATTTTCATCGTTTTTATTTTCTTCGCCTTTTTCTTTTATTGATTGGTGCCGGTCACATATCATATCATTTCTTAGCCAGCGCAGGATTGGACTATTTTACAACTCGCGTCTCTCAACAAGAATTACTTGCTGAAAGGCCTTTTCTCTTTTTTCCCCACAGTTTGTTGGAGTTACGATTAGATGCACTTTTGGGACCTAAGCTATGGGTCGTGTAATATAGGGCGGCAACTGTTTTTTTCTTTTCCCTTTGTCTTAGCAAATTCAGCTGTTCATACAACTAAACAATACGAAATAACTGGTATCCCGGTTCTGTGGGACAACTTACACGCAATCTTTGGTTCAAATTTTGGCATCCAACGCTTAGTCGACATACAAAGGCAGTTGAAAGCACTGGCGATTAGAAAGCGATTCTGTAGTGGGCCAATAATCCTCAGGCGGGCTCTTACATTTTATTGCCGGTGATACAGATAAGTTACTTCAAAAATCAAATCAAATAGACGCTGATCAACATGGAATATTCGAATGCTGAGATTGCTCTAGACTCTCGTGGAAGAAGCTGCGACGACTAAACAACATAGAGCTACCACGTAACTCAGCTGATCGGATTAGCACACTCTTAAGCGTGTCTTCCCAACAGATTCCTAGCATCACGGCACTGAGCAAGAACCACGGGGAAGTCGAACATCCTTGAGTGGCTCAACACCTAGTGTGGCGCAGCCCCAACAATCAGTAGACAACTGAAACCTGTTCAGCTGAATGAGTAAAAAGCCCCAGCCACATGCTTTGAAGTGTGGATGGAGTGCATGTGGCTGTGCACGCCCTAGCCAATCAGCGACACCACGCCATCTTGTTTAGTGAAACCACGTCAACCATGATTCGTTTTAGACCGCCCCTTGAATCAATGGATTACATCATTGTATCCCAAATCAAGGAAAGGTACTGAATTGGTCAAGAGCTACCCATAATATCTTAGATTTGTGTAGAAAGATTTCGCCTTCACGTGTGCATATAAAAGCTTTGAGCTCTTTTACCAGTCTGTTTATAAAAACTACTTTTTGATTCCAATTCGAACGGTGCATTGTGAAACACCTGCCGAGACACCTAAGCCAAGGTACGTGTATCAAGGTGTCATAGGTTGGTGTTGGCTCCTTCACCACCCAGCCTCCAACTTTCACGATACTTCACACATCCTACATCATCCTGAACTTCTGCAGCCATGGCATCGCTCGTGGCAAAGTTCGTGGGGAAAAAGATCTTGGGGGAGACGATCGAAAATAAGTTTGGTAAAACGGTACGTTCACTGACCCAGAATATGAAGTCATAGACGCAACTAGAAGAGCTAACATTAAGCATAGGACCCATACTTTGAGACCGTTCCCGCAACTCGCCTAGATGGCAAGCCCAGCAGGAGCGGAAGAACCAAGAAGCGCAAGAAGGCGCTGCCACCGGGCATCTCTGATCATGACGCCATGGTTTTGACCAAGGTGAAGAGACGAGCCTACCGACTCGACATGTGCCTTTTCAACTTTGCCGGGATGAGTTTTGGCTGGGGAACTGTGCTGGGTTTTATTCCTGCGTGAGTGTAGTCTCTTCTCATATTTTGATGATCGGAAGGCTAATACTTCGCACAGATTCGGTGACGCTCTTGATGCGCTACTTGCCCTCATGGTAATGCGAACATGCGCTGGCATAGAGGGCGGGTTGCCGAACGGTGTCAAAATCAAAATGCTGTTCAACATCGTGTTGGATTTCTTTGTTGGTCTCGTGCCCGTCCTTGGCGATCTGGCAGACGCTGCTTTCCGTGCCAACACTCGCAATGCCGTGCTCCTCGAAGAGCATCTCAGAGAAAAAGGAAAGATTCGTCTAAGGAAGGCTGGCCAGGCTTTCCCAGCTGTTGATCCAAGCGAAGCCGATGAGTTCGACAGGATGGAGAGGGAGATTGCTTCACGCCCGCCCTCCCGTCAACCTTCTCGGGAGAACTCTCGAAACAATAGACACGACTCACACCGCCCACGCCCCCCACGAGAACCAGAGCCATCTCATGCCCGAGAAAGTCGCGGGTGGTTCGGTCGGAAGACATCGCGTCCACACGATGTGGAAATGGGACAAGTGCACGATTCACGATACGATACCCGCAGAGGGGACCGCAGAGGTCGGCGGTAAATACCGACGACAATGCTAAAGTGTTACGATCTCTCAATGATATGATATTGACTTCATGGTTGCAACGAAATATTCACCGCTCTGAGTTTATGCAAAGATGAAGACATATGTATGGGGTTTATGCAGACATGAAGACATATGCATGTACCTGTCGCTTCATGTCAGCGTGTCAGGGTTTCACTCGTTTGATCGGTCCAGGGGTGTCATGCATATGGATTCGAACTGCAGTTGTTCTGTGGTAAGCCACTCTGGGGCAAGATGTAATTTAATATTTCCGTATTTCCGTATCCACTAGGTGCTTGCTTTTGCCTCGATGATGTAGATCTCGAAGGATTGACTTTGTGCATGATGCATCAACTAGTTCCACATGCCAGATTGATAAACCATCCCAGCTGAAGAATAACGAGGTACATGTATCCGAGGAACCCGTTCAGCCTGCCCTGATCCACATCGCCAAAGTCGTGACTCACGGGCGTCGAGCAGCGCTGTGAGGCGGTTGGCTAGCTGATTGATAAACCAGGATGACGTTTCACTAATTAGGCAAAGACTAATCAGAAAGCTATGCAGGATGCTGCAAGGGCCGACTTGGCGGGGCAGGTGGATGGCTGGTCATACATAAACGCGATAGGCACGCGTCGCTCTTGGCAACAGGTGGTTGGGTTTAATATAACTGGTGAAAATTAAGATGAGCATGGCGTGGAATTGCTAAATTGGCCCACTCTCCTAGCGGCAGAAAACGCGCTGAACGCGTCCAGAACACGTGACGACGCTCCATCTCAATGTACAAAAACCGTTATGGCTTCCCTTCCACTCCAACCTATTCAACCATCACGACAACGCTCAAAGCTTGACTTGTAACTGAGAATTGATATCTCTCTAGAGTCCTTGTATCAATCATTCCACCTTGGATATCTTTGTGCATTTACACTTCAACAATGGCCACCGACACCACCCCTTCCAAGCAGGTTAGTGACGTCTTCCCCGTCGCCACCAAGAACATCGACAGTAGCTAACTCGTTAATCGTAGGCCGCTGCTGCCATTGACTCTTTCAAGATGGAGTCTCCCATCAAGAAGATCAACTTCCACCCCGAAGATAAAGAAAACCACCCCGTCGACCAGGCAACGCTCTCCACTCTCTCCAAGCAGGTCGATGTCAAGCATGACCTTGTTAAAGCGGAGAAGGAGACCGAAAAGGAGGTTGCAGACAAGCCAGAGGAGATTGATGAGCCTCTTCTCCAAGAGAACCCCCACCGATTCGTCCTCTTCCCCATCAAGTATCACGAGGTATGTCACGCGTCACTAACGCGTAAAGTGGTCTTGGCACACATCGCGACAAGAAGCTAACACGAAACAGATCTGGCAAATGTACAAGAAGCACGAAGCTTCTTTCTGGACTGCTGAGGAAATCGATCTGTCCAAGGATCTCCACGACTGGCACACCCGTATGAACGATGACGAGCGCTACTTCGTCTCTCACGTTCTTGCCTTCTTCGCTGCCTCTGATGGCATTGTCAATGAGAACCTGGTTGAGCGCTTCAGCGCTGAGGTCCAGATTCCTGAGGCTCGTTGCTTCTACGGATTCCAGATTATGATGGAGAACATCCACTCAGAGACCTACTCCCTCCTCATTGACACATACATCAAGGAACAGGCTCAGCGAGAGTATCTGTTCAATGCTATTGAGACCAGTACGTTTTCTCGTGTATACCCCCGATGGCGACCATAGCTAACCAACCTTAGTTCCCTGTATCCGCAAGAAGGCCGAGTGGGCAATTCGCTGGATCCAGGACAAGAAATCCACATTCGCTCAGCGTCTTGTTGCCTTCGCCGCCGTCGAGGGCATCTTCTTCAGTGGTGCTTTCGCTTCTATCTTCTGGTTGAAGAAGCGTGGTCTGATGCCTGGTCTCACCTTCTCCAACGAGCTGATCTCCCGTGACGAGGGTCTTCACACTGACTTCGCTTGCTTACTCCACTCCCATCTGAACAACCGCGCAAGCAAGGAGGTCATTGAGAGCATCATCACTGACGCCGTCACCATTGAGAAGGAGTTCTTGACTGAGGCCCTTCCTTGCGCCATGCTGGGCATGAACGCCAACCTGATGAAGCAGTACATCGAGTTTGTTGCCGACCGTCTTCTGGTCGCTCTCGGCAACGACAAGGTGTACAAGTCGACCAACCCCTTCGACTTCATGGAGAACATCTCCCTTGGAGGCAAAACCAACTTCTTCGAGAAGCGCGTCGGTGACTACCAGAAGGCCGGTGTCATGGCCAGCACCACCAAGAAGAACGTTGAGGAGACCACTTCCGAAACCAAGGTTGAGAGTGGCGACTTCACTTTTGATGACGATTTCTAAATGTTTCATGAAACATCAAGAGCATCGTCTGCCAGCTCGTTATCTCACATTGCGGTGGCGTGTTCTCGTTATGCTGGGTTAAGAACCCACTTCAAGCTTGCACTTGGTTACGATTTATTGCTTCGGGGGGCTCACTGATGGCGTTTGGGGTTTAATATCAATTTCTTTTTGTCTATAATACACTGGGTATGGGTCAAGCACATATGATACGACGGATGGCAGAATAAACGGAGACGGAACCTTCATAGGTAATAAATAAATGTTTACATACTTTCCAAAAGATTGCTCAGTCCATTTTACGTGTAGTGTTTCTTGTCTTATAAAAATCCTCGCAAGCGATACCAACATGGTCAAAGCGGGGAGAGGGTATGGCATATCATGAGATTCGCTCGGCTCTATTTCTTGCCCTTCTTTTTCTTCTTGCCACCGCCACCTCCCACTGGTTGTTGTGGTTGTGCTTGTGAAGCCGCCGCCGAGTCCCCGTTTCCAGCATCAGTCGCGGTAGGCGCATCTGGCATTGCCTCCTCGGCAGGCGGCTCCGGCACACCGGCCATGCCCCTACTTAGTCTACCCAGGCTCGAGTGGATGAGTCGCGAAACCTCGGCGGCCTTGCTGGTGCGGTACTTGAGGACGACGCCGCTCGCCGGGTCGTATGTCTTGAACACGAGGGAGCCACGGGGTGGTCTGGCCTCTTCGTCGGGTTTGGCCTCTTTGCGGGGTCGTCGGGCGGGTTTGATGGAATATTTGGTGGTGGTGCGCGTCTACGAATGCATTAGCAGGTAAAACAACGACTTCTGTGGGCGCTTCGTACGGTCGACGGTCTGGCTTCAAGCAGGAGCTTGGACTGCTCAAGCCATTCTTCGGCGGTGGTGAAGTAGGGCATGATCAGTTGCGATGCCCGCGTGCTCGAACGCAGAGCGTATTTTTGTGTGCGATTGTGTTTGGTCCAAGAAACAGTGTCCCATACAATGCGCCGCAGATGATATCCAAGTGAATTGACAGAGCCCGTGCAAAAATAGGACCAAAGCCTCGAGATTGATGGTTGATTCAGATATGGGAAAGTGATGGATGTGGCTTGTGGTTGACAACGAAGGTTCGACAGCGTTTCTTCTGGTGGGGCACTTGTGGAGTGGCGGTAACAGCACCATGAATTAAGCTCCAGCCTCAACTTGATAACCATACATACCCTGTACGTCTTGAGATGGCAGAAAGGCAGTCGTCAACTCCCCAAGAGTTGACCAACCTCTCCATGACCACTACATCCGATCTTACTGTGATAGATTCTATGTTCCCCCTTCGTTTCCCCGCCATTTCCTTTTATGTGTCTACCTACCATTTAGCTATGGGGATCAGGAAGCCAAAATACCAGCTCCTGGTCTCCAGTCGCAAAGAAATTAAATCGGGGATTGAATGCTAACACAGCAGCCTCTCTCTTATCGGGCAGTGTCCAAGTTGGTTCAAGGACCTTGTTTTCGCCTGGTGTACTTCGTGTGTCCCACACGAGAACGTCCTTCTTGGTTCCGCTGATAACATACCGCCCATCAGGCGTAAAGCAGCACTCACCGCTGCTGTCCATAGGCGCGCTGTCTGCTCCGATGCCATTAGCAGTGCCGGTCTCGCCTGGCGCCAATCGGCGAGTACCACCAGATGGCTTGTAAAGATAGGCTTTCAGAGTTCCCTCGAACGCATCTAGCAAAAAGTGGCCACCACCCCTAGTGCCAAGCAACAGTGATTTGCCATCATTAGAAAACTCCAGCTTGGTCCAGCCCTTGACAAGAGATTGGGTATCAACTTTCCGTCCCTGCTCAACAATGTCTATTGTACTGAATGGAGCCTTGTCATAATTGCGAGCATCGTAGAGTAATATCGACCCAGCACTGGGGCAGGCTACAGCAAATACGGACCCCGAGGGGTCATAGGCGGCGAGCGTGGGTAACTTCAGGTTGAGCTGCCCTTGCCAGTGTTTCGACTGCGTATCCCATATCCGAACTGTATTATCCTGAGAGCAGGATATGAATGTGTCGCTGCCTGGATGGACGCTGAGACAGGTCACATCGCCTTCGTGACCTTCAAAATAGCGAATGAATGAGTTGTCATGTGTAGCGAGGTAGCGGATCGCATCTGTAGGAAGCTCAGGTTAGACACAATTGTTCGCTCAACCGGTGTTATTAGTGCGCTAATCATTCTTACTGTTCTGCTTTGTACTCGCGTAGATTATACTCGAGTTTGTGTGTGTGAATTTGGCGAGCTTCACGCCATACTTTTTACTCAGAGCACTCTTGTCATGACGTCCTTCTTTCACGCTGTATATTTGGATCGTCTCGTCACTGTACGAAGCAAGAACTAGCTCTCCATCATCATCGTAGTCGAGTGATTGGATGTGAGGGTGTTGTCGCCCGTCTCTGGCGTCGTCGCGTTTGAATAACTGCAGCTTTGGTTTTAGTATGGCTCATTTTCTATTTCCAGCCATGTATCAGGAACCATACCTTGGTCGGGCGAAATGTAGATATGACATCGCTCAGGTTTGACGTGGCGCTCCCACTATTCGAACCAATTGTTCTGTGGATGTTGAGCGTCGGCGTGGAAGATGCAGGGCGGTCGATGTCCATCGGGGTGGACGACATCTCGGCGGTGTGCTCGAATTGGTCGGCCCCCGGCGAGGCGGGTGATGCTCCTTTTGCCGTCAAATTCTCAGTCTTGTAATACTCGTGGCAGCGTGCGGGAGTCGCCTACGGTACTGTTGTACGATTTCCAGCTTTCGCGCGTTTCGTCTGAGGGTTGGTGGGGCTGGGCGGACATCAGAGACAATCGAGCTTGAATGCAGATGCGAATGATGAACCTGGGCCAAAGCTGTAGCAGTTGTGGGTCCACCCTCCACAGCTTTGGCAGTGCATCAGCCACACATACCTTACCTTATGCCTTTGCAATATAACACACCGGAGTACATTATCAATTCCCCAGTAGCGCATCTGGTTTGAAGATGTACCATGCTAGGACTCTCTAAATATGCACTCACAACTTACCTAGGTATTTACATTCTTGACAAAATGAATTCATCGAATGGAGGACATCGTAGCTCATGTGGGGGCCAGGGGAGCCGTATCAATGCACCTCTTACTTTTGGCTAGGACCAGAGGAAGGTTTCTATAACACCCATACCCTGTAACAGCTACGAACGCCATTGTAACCGCCCGCCCGAAGGGCCTTGCCCGTCCGTGCCTGTCCGCATATATCCATCAGAAATAACTTACAGTGCTAAACGGCGGCTCCCAAAGCCCGGATAGTGGCGGCCAAATGGCTCCACGCTGCAGGTCAGGAAATTCACGGCTTAGAGATTTCGTGTTGGTGTGTCGCGCAACACGGTTTTGGGACTATTCAATGAGTTGGACAATAAACACTCTTGGAAGAAAGAAGGAAGGGACCCGAGAAGAACGAGAGCAATTCACCAAGTCCAAATAGCCAATTCACACCCGGAAGCTTCAAGTGATAGCATACCTGGGGCAGAAGTGCTGGATCGGAGCTTGGGAGGCTGCCTGGGGTATTGGTCAGCCACTATAAATAAATACGTAAAGGGCTTAGTTGGGCATGAGCGGCCCAACTGGTAAGATTTCGTCTGTTGTAATTCCTGCTGCTAATACCGGGGCCCAATTCGTCGCGGCCGACGTCGGCACAAAGTTTCCGCGTCTGGGATATCGGCCTCTACCAGTCCTCCCTCACTTCAATGCCGCAATTCATCACCTGCAGGTAGGGCGTGCGGCCAGACGATAACCAGAGCTTCACTTGCTTGCACTGCAACCCTTCCCAAACCCCATCTATTTCACCATATCCGACAACAGTACCATGTGAGTTCACTAGAGCGGCACTTCATCTAGGGCGACACTATGCTGACTCGCTTTCGACAACATCTAGGTCGCAGACTCATCGGTGATTGCTTGCCCACTGTCGCGTTCTCTCGGGCTCTTTGGAAGTGACGGATTGATTCCATCCTGCCCGAGCTCTGTCTCAACTTGAAGATCGAATTACCGTAGACTCGAAGACTGAGGTCTTACTCTTTGCGTGCCGCCTGTTCCGCCTCTAGCCCCTCAACATGTCTACTACACTTGGGTATGTCTTTACGAGAGGTGCCAATGCAAATCTTTGTCGCAAGTTACTGATCGAATCGCTATCCAGAGCCTTTATCGGCGGCGGCATTGCAGCCTGCGGCGCCGTCACCGCGACGCACCCGTTCGAGACGGTCAAAATTCGGTAATTCGCAATCCCCTGCTACCCAGACGAACGCCGGAATGCTGCGCAGTGGCTGACAACTCTGGCTTGAACATGCAGAATGCAGTTGCAGGGAGAATTACAACTCAAGGGCGCTCAGACTATGCACTACAAGGGACCCTTCCACGGCGTCAGTGTGATTGTGCGAAACGAGGGTCTCCGGGGCATCTACCGAGGTATCGGATGCGCCTACATCTACCAAATCCTGCTCAATGGGTGCCGCCTTGGATTCTACGAACCCATGCGCGCGGGGCTAGCCAAGCTGATCCACAAGGACGAGAAGGCGCAGAATCTCTTCATTAATGTGTTCTGCGGTGCCACCTCCGGCATGATGGGAGCTGCTGCGGGCAGCCCGTTCTTCCTGGTCAAGACTCGTCTCCAGAGCTACTCGCCTTTCCGGCCTGTGGGCACCCAGCACCAGTACCGCAACGCCATCGATGGCATGACACGGATTTTCAAGAGTGAGGGCATTGGCGGCTTGTATCGAGGCGTCAGCGCTGCCATGATTCGAACAGGATTTGGTAGCTCTGTCCAGCTGCCCACCTACTTCTTTGCCAAGAGACGCCTGGTGAAGCATGCCGGCATGGAGGAAGGACCAGCTTTGCATTTGGCAAGCAGCTCTATCAGTGGATTTGTTGTGTGTTGCGTTATGCACCCCCCTGGTGAGTAGTAACCTTGCCTTTTCGGGTTTCATGTGATCTTTGTTTCCTTCGTGTTTACGTCGACTAACTGTGGTAGATACTGTCATGTCGCGTCTCTACAACCAGAATGGAAACCTTTACAAGGGCGTCTTTGACTGCCTGAGCAAGACCATCCGCACCGAGGGTTTCTTCGCCATTTATAAGGGCTTTCTGCCACACTTGGCCCGAATCTTACCCCACACGATCCTGACGCTCTCGCTGGCTGAACAGACGAACAAGCTGATGAGAAAGGTTGAGGGCTTTATCCTCCCAGACTTGGATAAGGCTGCGTAAATGAGCTTGAGGTAGCCGACGCTGCGTTGTACATACTACGATATTTATTTCCCTTTCTTTTGGTGCTCTTTGCTGGGTGTTCATTGCATCTATTGGGCGGAAAAGTCATGCATGGGTGTGCCAGGATGTGGTATTGCCTCGTGGGATGCCGGGGGAAAAGAGAAGGTTTAGGTAGGACCAAGTCATGGGATCAGGGGTTTTGGGATGAGATGGATACTTCGCATTTTTATAGATTTTGGTTTGGGACTGGAGCATATAGATATCTCCCCAATCTAAGCTCTTCCACCTCCTTCTTTCTTATCCATTCACAGACCGCTTGCAGCCATAGCATAACCTGGCCAAGCGAGGTTCACCATCGGGGTTATAGTCGTCGCCCATCTCTCCTGCCCATCTGGAGTCGCCGCGCTCATCCAGCACAACTCCGCACAACCCACACGAAGGGCCACTGGCGTTAGCTCTGTCGAGTTTACCCGTCGTTCGCACAACATTGGCCACAATCCCGGCATATGGCGTCTCGACGCTCTCAAAGTAACGGGCCATGACCTCCTCAATGCTCGTGTCTTTGTGAGAGACAACAGTCGGAGTTGCTCCATTAACATTGGATGGGTTTAGGGCGGCAATCTCTGGGAACACACTGATGTACGTGTCGATCTCCCCTTTGAACAGCTCTCGCAAGGGATAGTGTATCGGGTAAGTAGTCCGCTTTACTTCAGCGCCTGACGCCGGGTCGTAGATCGTGACCGGGAAGCGGCCGTCGTTGACCTGCCAGGGGATGGCAAATCCTCGCCCGTTGGCCACCTCGCACAGGGAGAGGGCTGCGAGAGCGGTAGTAGTGTGGCCAAGGAGAAGAGTGTTGTAGTGGAGATCTTGCATGGCAATGTCTAGCAGAAGGTGCCGTACGAGGAGACGCAGGACATCTGCTCTCGAGCTCACTGATGGCAGCTTCTCGAACATCTGCTGTAGGCGCATTGAAGGTTCTGAACAGCCATCCTCAGACTTAGGGAGAGGGAGGGCCGACCAGTCTACCGTTTGAGCATCTAGAACTTTGCTGAGGTGCACACACCGGAACGAAAGCTGGGTATACTTGGCGCTGTAGTTGCGCATCAGCGCCTGCGCAGGCGTATCCTGGCGTTCTGGTGAACAAGATAAGTCTGTATCGACATGCACAGCAAGGATTTCGAATGCCGAGCTTGATTTCTTCTTGCTTTGCTTGCGGGTGTATCCGTCGAGGAGATGGACCAAGGCACTTGATGATGGGCCGAATGATAGGCCAGCTACATACCTCCGTGGCTCTAGATGGCTGGAGGTGCGAACTTCCTTGTGAAGGTAGGCCAGCCGCTTGACAAACTTTGTTTCAATATACTCGGTGAAGCAATTTCTAGTTGGTGTTGTTAGCAACGCCCTGGAGGTTTCTTGACGTCTGATCCGGGATGGAAACAAGGTACGAGACAGATATTACGTACCCGCATGTTGGCTTGGTTCGGAGCTGGAAAGGTGCGTCTTCTGCCTTGCAGCGAGAGCAAGGGTTTGACACAGTTGAAGCCGGCATTTGTATTTCTGACCAGCTAATGCGGGGAGCTTTTCTTTCTTTCTTTCTTTCTTTCTTTCTTTCTTTCTCTCTTGTCGTCCTTCGAAAAAGCCCTTTGTCCAATAGTGGGGGGATGTAGTAGAAAAAATGTGCTGGTACGAGTTGAACCTAAGTAAATCTGAAGCTGTCTGGGGAAAATTCTAATGTATCAATATAACCATTGATGATCTAATCTAGCGATGGTGTGTGGCGGGCCTAATCCAGACCAGCTTTTTCCCAGCACACTGGAGTACCTTAGGTTTGCTCCCACAGCGGCACCGACCGTTGGTAATAAACCCGAAGAGCAAGCACACCACACCTTCGATACCTCCATTGATTAAGGTGTCAACTAGCAGCGGGAATTGCGATTTCAACACTTGGCATTTTGTCTAGCCTTTCTACTAATTTGTCTATGGCTCTTCCTGTCTAAGAATCATGGGAAAAGCAACTCTAGGTCGTGGCCGGCGAATGCGGACCGATCCTTGCCCCAAGCCTTCAGAATGACGTCCTTGCCAATACGGACAAGGTCCTTGTTCTGCTCGGCTGTGCCCCAATTTGGCGTCCTGGATCCAAAGCAGATTAGATGCGCCCCGACATGGATCAGCGTTCGAAAAATAAAGTCGACGTCGACAACGCCGTAGCCTTGCGCTAATCCCTGGATAATCCATGTGCCAGCGTCGATCTTCTTGTACAAGCTTAATTGCCAGAGTTCCGCAACCATTTGGCCCACGTCCAGAGGCTTGATGCCGAGCTGGGCCAGCTCCCAGTCGATGATGGCTACCTGGGTTTGTGTGCCATCCTCGATGGGCTTGTTGGGCAACAGTACACTGTCGGCTGTTAGTCCGTGATGCTCCTCGGTCACGTACGGCGTGAAGGGTAAAATGCTGTGACATACTTGCCAGTCCAAAAGTCCCCATGGATGGGCACCAATGAGCTCTCATCCTTGAGCTCCTCGAGGGTCTGCTCATAGATCTTTTGGAAAATTTCCTTGGCGTCTCCGAGGATATCCGGGTGCTGATCCACCATGTCGACCAACATCTTGTAGTTGATATAGTTCTTCAGTTGCTGCATTGCGCCGTTATTCTGCAGCGAGCCACGGAATGACTGATTAGCCGGCTCATTTCCCCAGGCATGGAACTGGCGAAGCCACTTTCCAATTGCCACGCCCAGTTTCAGGCATTGGGACTTTGCTGACGTTGGGGTGGGGGCTTTGTAGTACCCAAAGGCATATTCCTTGAGGTTAATGTAGTTGGGGAAATATTCTTGAATTTGCGTGTTGGTGTCCGGATTGAAATGGAGGATTTTGGGGGTCGCGATGGCGAACGGCGAGGAGACCAGCGGTGCCAGGTTTGATAGCTCACGCAGGCATTCAACCTCGATGATCTTACTCATGCGTGAGCAACTGTTTCAATGGAAACTTTGGGGGATAAAGCTTACGCATCTAGAAGTCGGCAAGGGGAAATTGGGATTCGAAGCTACATATTCTTCGCCGTGTTTGACGACCACCTGTGACGTGCCATCAGGAAGAGCAGTCGAGAGTGTTGCCAGGAATATGAAGTTTCCAGTGCCACCTGTGAGTGGTTGGAGTTCTGATGCTTTGAAGTCAGAGCCGGCAGCCAATTCCTCCTGCACCCTGGTTTGGATCTGCTCCCTTGTATCCGTCATGGTCGATGTGTTCTCAAGAATTGATTTAGATGATCAGAGTGTGATGGCGGACAAAGAGCTACTGTAACGTTGGGCAGATATTGACATGCGAATCACAATACTGAGATTATTCTTTCAGAAACGGACACTATTTTGGTTGAAAAAAGCTGCCCTGCCCTTCATATATGGCTCATTGATGTGTATTAGTTTGCCAATTGAAGGTCTGCTTCCTCCAGTTACTACCTAGTCAATGTGAGTCGAACTTGCTCATCGCTACCTGTAGGCGCTAGAGATGCCCCACAGCCAGCCGTCACCTACGTAGCCGCCTGCCTGGTCTTTTGAACAGAATGAAGGGACACGGCCATGCATACCTACTCAATGTCACCGCTGCACTTCCTTTACCGCTGTCCAGTGCCAATGGATCGCAGCCAACAAAAAAAACCACTGCAGCCAAATCTGACCCAGGGCTAAATTGGACTCGGCTGCGAATGACGTCAAACGGAAGGGCGTGCTGACTTATTTATAATATGCCTTCTTGCGCCTGTGTCCTGTGACCTGCAGCCTCAGAGCCAATGGCCCTCCCCCAGCAGGGATACGAACACGAATCTGCAGATGCAACATCCGAAGTCGAGAGGAAAAGATGCAGCCCTGGATGGGACCTTGGGAACACCATACTCCTCCGGGAGCGGGCAGCACAAATCGTACGCATTTCTTCCCAAATTGGACCACACCTGCAGGTCGCGTTGAAACACCTTATTTTTGTTGTGCGGTGCAGTTGTTGGCAATCAGCGCTGAGTCCATGAATGGAGGATAATATACGCGGTGAGGCGTCTCATGACGTTTCCGTTGCCCTGGGCCGCGTCTGTGTGCTTGCAGGTGCCTGGTGATATCGGTCCAAGTAGCGGCCATGTCAAGGTGACCACCATCATCTGGCATATTGACTGGCACCGGGTACATGAGGCAGACCCTCGAGATTAGTGGGGGGTACTACTCGCATCGCCTTGGCCACCTAGGTGTTAGCACTAACATCAGCCATTCGCATTCGACGTGTTACCTGTCTGGTCGTTGGCATCGTCTCCCAGTGCTACCTGGTGCTACGCACTACCGCGAACTCTGGTGGCTGAACGGGTGGCTGGCTGCATGGACGAATGGACCCTCGCAATTAATTGCTTGCAACGGCCGTAGCTCAGCAGACATTTCCCCAGACATCTCCCATTCCCATTCTCGCTCTTGTTCATCTCTGGTCCTCATTCCCTTGTCCGCAACATCTTTCTCTGTCGCTGAGAGCAGCCGCGCAGAATACGCCGCTCGCACCAACTGACAGTTTGCCCCCCCGGCTTACCCCTGGCTGCCGGGATTGATTCGATCTGGACGTTTAGCACCGAAACGAAACGCTTGGCTTACTCCCACTTGCCGCCGCTTGCCACTGCTTAAGTGGTGTCAAGCATCACTCAAATAAATCACCTTGCCCACCTGGTCGCTCACCAGAGTGATCTCGCTCCCCGCTGCTGCTCTTGTTATTTTTTCCATTTCCGAGTAGAAAAACACGAATCCGCCTAGTTCTAGATCTTCGCAGCTGCCTAGGCACTCGACGCATAACGACGACATCATCAAATAGCTGACGAGGATCCTTGTTGCCCCCAGGCAGCGATTTCCCTCCGCACCTTGTACGAAACATTATTAGCCAGCTCGTCCTATATTGTAGCCGTTCACCATCGGCTGGATTGTTGGGAACAAGCCTCCCGATTAGCCTGCAAACTCACATGCAATGCATTGCGCATCAAGCGCTGTTCAGAAACCTACATTCCATTCCAAACTCAATTCAAGCATCACCCATATATATCACCAACAGCACCCGAACTCTGTGACATTACCGACTTGCCGCAAACAACAGCCCCGATCGCACTCGCATTAGCATCGCGTCATATCTATCAATCGAAGAGCTGCCTGGATCACGAAGGAGCCGTATTTCACCATGGCCCAGACTCAGTTCCAGAGGCCCGGACACCCAACAGGTCCGCAGGCACCGCTGGGATCTATGCCGCTCCCTTTCCGCCCACGCAACCGCTCCGACATCGATCTCAAAGCCCCTGTCAACCAGAATGGCAGTTTCGAAGCCGATCGCGTGATCAAGAGCGGCTACGTTCAGAAGCGCACACAAAAAACCAAGGTACATTGAGTGGAGGCCGTCTTCTATACCCATCGTCATTGACACTGACTGACTGATCTGTTCGTGTAGACCTGGAAGTCAATATACATCGTCTTGCGACCGAACCGTCTTTCCGTATACAAGAACGAGAAGGAGAACAAGCTTCGCCACCAGCTCTACCTGTCCGACCTGACGGCTGTCGCGTTCCTCAAGGATCCCAAGCACAAGCGTGATAACGTCTTTGGTCTCTTCTCCCCTTCCAAGAACTTCCACTTCCAGGCTACAAATCGACGCGAGGCAGACTCATGGGTGAATCTAATCCGCAGGGAGGCTCGCATCGAGGAGGAAGAGGAGGAGATGTTCCTTGCCAGCCCCATGGGTAGACGCCAGATACCGGCAGGCCTCACGCCCGTATTCGATAGCAGCGAGATGGGACTGTCAAGCTCCCCAGAAGCCATTGGACCTTTGACGTCCGCTCTGGTGCCTATTGATAATCGTCGCAAGTCTTCACAAATCGAGTCATCCGGGCTCTCCGGCAATGAGTTCGCCTCCCATTCCGACTTTTCTGACAATGACACGAGTCGATTGCCTGGCGCTTCGTTCGATAGCTTTGAGCCTCGATCCTATCCCACGCGAACCAACGGGAGACACTCGCAGACCTTCTTACAGGGGGGACCTTTGAGTCGCTCCCTGAGCCAGATGAGCGTTCACAATGTCGAGAGAGACCCAGACCGTGTCATCTGGCAGGGCTGGCTATGGTTCTTACGTACCAAAGGTGGCGTGCGTCAGTGGAAGCATCTCTGGGGTGTCCTGCGCCCCCGGAACTTCATCATGTACAAGAACGAGTCAGAGTATGCTGCGCAACACATTATTCGCCTGTCGGCCATCGTCAACGTGGTCGACATTGACCCACTGAGCAAGAGTAAGACAGATTGCCTGCAGATCATTACCGAAGAGAAGAGCTACCGTTTCTGCACCCATGACGAGGAGTCTCTTATCCAATGCCTTGGTGCTTTCAAGAGCTTGCTGGCAAAGCGTCGAGAAATTGAAGCCAGGGTCGGGCTCTCGCAAGACCAGGCGCGGTAGCAAAAGGGACAGGGCTTACGTTGATGCGAACCCACGCTTTTTTCACGTTCCTTACGAATTACGATGACGACAATTATTACAATGGAGACTTGGTTCAACCTTAGTCAAAACTTATCAGGCGTTTGTTTCTCTTCTGCGGCAGGTGGTGCAAGAGAATTATTTATTGCCATTACATCTGTCTATACCTGGGTTGCTTTTATGCGGGTTTCATGGAATATATGAGTTGGTCGGTTGTTATGAACGTTCAGCGATCTTTGTTGCGGAATAAAATCCTTTTTGAATTTGGAATCATCATGTACATAAAAACATCAGATAACAACAACATAGGTACCTACCTTGGTTTTGGTCACCTCATCTAATCTCACACAACCCACTATCCAACCACTTAATTACCTAGCCTGGCTTCAACAAGCTGCGAGCGTGGCAAAAGTGTTACAATTGCTTGTTTTGGAAAGACCCTGAAGTGTTTCGCCCACTGTTCTCTTCTAGGAATGTCTAGTCCCCCCAATCCTGGAAAGCTGGCTTGGTAGCGTCCGCTGACATGGCTTGGGATTGACTTCACCTGCTCTCTTTGGCAGCTCATGAGACTACCGTGACATCAACATGGACGCTTGAATCCCTCAACCTCTCCGTGCTCGGGCCCAAAGATAATCAGTCACCTACCTAATATCTACCGCTGGACTGGAGCCTTCTGTTCAGAGCCGGGACCGTGCGCGTTCCAGGGCTGGTGATTGGGTCTTCTGGACTTCACAGGGCAGCGTTCTTCTCTCAACGCGCTGGAATAATGGGTAGAGGGGAGGAGGGGGTTTGAGCCCAGCCTGGCTTGTCAGCAGCTGGGTTTCTCTGAATGCCGACGCTCATTGGGACATGAACGAAGTTGAATTCCCTAATCCGTCTGACCTGTCCCCGCCTTTGCCCACTGATCATCCTCGATGCTACCTTACGACAACCACCTTCGCTTTCGACGAACTCGTCCCATCCACCACGGGCTCCCAAGAGTGTTCGCCTACGTCTTAATCCTGGACTCGGTCATCCCCCGCCCCCTCTCCAGTGCTTATTCGGAAGAGTGGATGACTGAATTGAGGCATTGGAAAATGTTATAATACAGCGGGAGCGCCTAGCCATGGATGTTCTTCTTGGAAATTGCCGTTCAGAGTAGTGAGGTTGGCACATAAGACTATAATTATCTGAAAAAACATCTACTTTTAGTTCCTATTGCCGCTGCCTCTCTAGGCCCTGGTATACCAGCCTGATCACCATGATCCTCGTCCAAACAATTTGGGGCCTCATCATACTGGCGCTGAGCGCTGCCGTTGCAGCGCAGAAGCCCAATGTCCCCCTCAGCTCAACCAGTCGCTGGATGGTTGACAGGGCTGGAAAGCGAGTCAAGCTGCGATGCATCAACTGGCCTGGCCATATGGAGACCAACATCCCCGAAGGTCTCCACAGACAGACAGTCGACTACATCGCTGGATGGATCGCACAGGAGGGCTTCAATTGCGTGCGATTGACCTTTTCAATCGACATGGCCCTGAACCCAAATCTCCCCGTCGAGGACTCTTTCCGACAGGGAGCTGCCGAGGGTGGCGTGGACGAAGGGGCCGTGATGGCCCTCTACAGTCAGGCTGTCGAGAAGAATCCATTTTTGAGCTCATCGACCGTTCTGGATGTCTTTGGCAAAGTCCAAGATGCCCTGTGGGAGAAGGGCGTCATGACGATTCTCGACAACCACGTCAGCAAGGCCAAGTGGTGCTGCGACCTCGACGATGGAAATGGATGGTGGAAGGATGCCCCGGGGTATATCGACGCCAACAGCAAGTACTTTGACAGCCAGAACTGGCTTGATGGCCTCAAGGCCATGGCCCAGTGGTCAGCAAGCAGAGAAGGAATTGTCGGAATCTCTCTCCGCAATGAGCTGCGCGCTCACGTCACCCAGATACCTTGGGGCGGCGAGACATGGTTCGACAAGATGCCCCAGGCCGCTGATATCGTCCATGCAGCCAACCCGAATGCGTTGATCATCATCGGTGGTCTTGATGGCGGCACGAACCTCGGCGCTCTCAGGGACGGCAGCATGCCTACGGACCGGTGGCCGGGCAAGAATGTGTGGGAGGCTCACGCCTACAGTTTTACCGTGACCCAGCCGGACTTTGGAAGCTGTACCATTAGGAAGACCATCTATGGTTTCTTCTTCGGCTTCGTCCTCGAACAGAATAAGGCGACGACGGGACCACTGTTCCTCTCCGAGTTTGGTGTAGGAATGGAAGGCGGTCCCAATGATGGACTGAGTGACAAGGACTCTTCGTACCTCTCATGCCTTGTTGGGTATATGGAGAACAATGACGCTGATTGGGGAATGTGGAGTATTGCTGGAACATACTATATAAGACAAGGAAACGTGGACGTGGTTGATACGTGGGGTGCGTTGGATAATTCCTGGAGTGGCTGGAGGAATGCTAAATTCAAGGGCAAGCTAGGGAAGATGTTCGAGGTCACCCAAGGGCCTTGAGATAGAGAGTAATTTGGTAATAACGCCCGTGACCACTGGTGCGCCCAGGCTCTGAATAGCTGACAGCGCCAAAGATGTACTATTATGCTCCTTCAGGTTTATCGAAGTTGAATAAATCTTCATCAAATCCTCCCTGGCTCATTGTGGTATCAAAGGTTCCATCGTGGTTGGTCATGAGCTCGTTAAATGAATTTCCCCCATCCATGCTGAAATCGAAATCTGTCCCGTCAGCGCCGCTGAAGTCCATGTCAAGGAGGTTGTCTAAGGCCTCATCTGTAACATTGTTGTCTCCATTCATCTGGTCTGGAATCCCTGAAGTGTCTCCTTGAACCGCAAGAAGGTCAGACCCCCCTGAGTTGTTGGTAGTAGGTTGGGGAGCAAGCCCTTCAAGGGACAGAGAACCATTGGCGCCGTCTGGTGCGGCAAATGAAGTCAAATCGAAATGCTCTCCGGTGCTCGCATCGTTTTGTTGCCCATTTTCGGGCTGTGCAAGTGCGAACTCCATATTTGTAAAATGCAATTCTGCGTTGGGTGCCCCTGATACCCCTGAGTCCGTGATTGGAGCTTTTGGCTGTTGTTCTAAGTCTGCCTGTGACATTGCCGGGACAGGCGCCGCTGGCGATGGCTCGATTTTGGGTTCAACCTCAACGGAGGGTATGAGTGCCTGTGAAGAGAGGCCTTCTGGGCCGGGGGCACTCGTCCCAGAAATATCCAGCCCCATGTCTGGGAATGGAGCGATGGTCTTTTTGGTGAGACTGACCGCTTCGTCCTCAGGCTCGGTCTTAGGAGCCGGCGGAGGAGACGAGTCAAGATCAATCACCATTGGGGATTTGGACTGGGGTTCAATCAATTGCGGTGGTTCAACCTCCATCTTGCTCTCCCTTAACCGGGAGATATCACGTTGCATCACCCCCTTGGCTCTGATCTAAATGCACGTATTAGAGCGATGATCAAAGTAGAGAAGCAGGGGTTTGGGAGTTCTTCTTACGATCTCCTGTTCCAAGTCATCTAGGGCAGAGTGGAAAGTGCGCATCGTCTCTGGTATTTTGTACCGAGCAGAAGTATTAGCCGCAGACATACTTCCAGGCGCTTCCTTTCGTGAGGCGCGAAGAGCCTTGCCAGTTTGTACCAGCTGGGGTTTGCGCAGGTCAGCCAAGTCCCATGAGATTAACGAAAGATGGAGCGATTCGGATCTTACTGCATCATTGAGCATGATCTGGAGAACATCGAGTGATGTCTTCGACTCGAGTGATGAAGCCATGATGGCCGGGTTGGGAAGGGATAATGAAATCTTGTGATCTGCGGCAGTCGGCAATTACTCCGGGCGAAAATTTCTTTCTAATTAGGAACGAATAGACAAACAGAAGGGTGGAAATTAAGCGAAGTTCGAGGAGGATAGCGGGTATCAACAGCGACGGGTGCTATTCCTTCGTGGTGTTGACCTCAGAGAGGTTGGTCAAGGCCAAGGGATTGCGGATCACGGACGACGAAATTGAGAATAGACCAGCCCAAGCAATCAATACAGGGTGCTTGCGACGGGTGGGTGCATTGAACAGAGCGCTGGGGTGAGGTGGGTAAGCTAAGGGTTGGGGGCGCTAGCAGCCACCAGCCAGTGGGCGCCCGGGCGGCTTTAGTGGTGGTTCGCCACAGACGCGTAGCCCCACACTGCCTCCTCAGGCACCGCTTAGCTAATCACACGAGTGTCAGGAGAGTGGGTCATCATTCGTGGATAGGACCAGTGGGGCAAGCTCAGTCGCTGAAGAACCCAATGTCGGTCGGTGCTACGTAGAGTGTGGTATCATTAGGCTCATGGGTCAATCATATTTGTGCTGCTTCATGTTAAGGAAAAGGTCGAGGGAAGCCGCTAGACAAGGCTTGGGATGCGGCATATGACGACTTGTCCTTTCTTCAGGCAACAATTAATGTCAAACTGGAGAGTGGCGACTCTCCTGAAGCATAAAACAACCATTTCTCATCTCCCTCCTGAACCGTGCTTGGGTACTATACATAGGCACGGGGAACTATAAGCAGATCCATATGGAAAGCAACGCATAATTGTCCCCATGCAGGGCAATTGAGAGTAGCAGTCATTGACGTTCAAGCGCTGGGCTTGCGATGGTCTGCTGGCTGGATGCAAGCGACTGAATTGCTGCATGCACTCGGCTCCAGCGCAAACACACACTGACGGGGATCAACCGACGGCAACCACCTGTTCATGAGGTGGACAGCTCATCGGGTAGACGTAGTGGCCCTCAGCACCTTACGTACATGGTACCTCTGTTCTTAGTGGACGGGCGAGGCTGTGGGGACGCCAGCAAGTTAAATGACTGGCTGCAGCTGGCCAATCACAGCCCCGGGAGGAGGGCTCGCCTGTCGGCGGGCGCCAGGTCCCCTCATCAATCACCTTTCCACCCGTCCCTCGACCTGGGAAGTTTTGATCCCCCATCATCGACACAAGTTCAAGTGGTTGCTGCGATTCCAGGACCTGGTCCTCGCGTGCCCCGTTTCCTTTCATCGTTTTTTCTGCTTTGCTGTGTCTTCTTCGTTGGGTTCTCTTCTCATCATCTCATCTCATCTCATCTCTAGCAGTCATCTGTCTTTGTCTTGAGTTTCTACTCCTACTGAGCCTCGGGAGGTTTGGCTTGCATACCATACCAGCTTCACCATTCGCGCCCAGTTTGTAATCGAACAGGTCCTCGATTTGCACGACGTAAACGCCTTGCGGACGCTTATCAATTTCCCTACAAAAAGTCCCTTCTCCTGGTATCTTATCTGCTTACTGGAACCATTTCCATTCTCCTGCAACCACCTGTCGTCGGGTCAGTTCCACACGCCCGCTTCATCGGCATTTTACGAGACTTTAGACCCCGCATCGTCGACTGGTTTGGCTTGCCACTTTTTTTTGGCCAAGGCGGAACAGCACAAACAAGTTCTTCTATAGCATCACATTTTATCTTCTTTGTGGTATCTGTTATCTTCGAAATGGCTGATTCAGGAGCTCCTACCAACGCCCCCCAGCTGCCACCTCAGCAGCCCAGTGCTGGTGCGCCAGTCTACGATGGCCCCCAGAACGGCCAGCCGATGGCTCCTCCTCCCCTCCACATCCCGCAGAACACGAACCCAATCCCGACCGCCATCACCTCACCGAGGTCCGCCGTGGACAAGGGTGGCATCATGTCCCCAACCAGTGCCGGGGGCTTCCGTCGAGCAGCACCCGAGCCTAACAAGAGGGCCCTCTACGTCGGCGGCCTGGACCAGCGGGTGACGGAGGATGTTCTGCGTCAGATATTTGAGACTACTGGTCATGTCCAGAACGTCAAGATCATCCCCGATAAGAATGTACGCTGAATCAGACATGCCACGTGCTCCGAGGAGTGTGCTAATCGATGATGTTTACAGGCAAAAGGTTTCAACTACGGTTTTGTTGAGTACGATGATCCCGGTGCCGCAGAGCGTGCTATGCAGACCCTCAATGGTCGACGAGTCCACCAATCGGTCCGTTACAAGCTTCCCCTTTGCGATATCGTCGCGACCCCTCCTAACATCAAGAGCAGGAAATCCGAGTCAACTGGGCCTATCAGTCCAACACGACGAGCAAGGAGGACACCTCCGGGCACTTCCACATCTTTGTTGGGGATTTGTCAAATGAGGTCAATGATGAGCTGCTGTTACAGGCATTTGCCGCCTTTGGTACTGTCTCGGAAGCCCGAGTCATGTGGGATATGAAGACGGGCAGGTCTCGAGGTTACGGCTTCGTCGCTTATCGTGACCGCGCAGATGCAGAGAAGGCTTTGAGCTCAATGGATGGCGAATGGCTTGGTTCGAGGGCGATTCGCTGCAACTGGGCCAACCAGAAGGGGCAGCCTTCCATGGCTCAGCAACAGGCGATGTCGGCTATGGGCCTGACACCCACCACACCCTTTGGCCATCACCAGTTCCCGTCTCACGGCATGGCGAGCTATGAAGTCATCTTGACGCAGACACCAAACTGGCAGACAACATGTTACGTTGGAAACCTGACGCCTTACACCACCCCTCATGATGTGGTGCCCCTCTTCCAGAACTTTGGTTTTGTGCAGGAATCTCGTTTCCACGCAGATAGGGGATTCGCGTTCATCAAAATGGACACGCATGAAAATGCGGCTATGGCCATTTGCCAGATGAATGGCTACAATGTTAATGGACGACCCTTGAAGTGCAGTGTAAGTCGACTCCGAGCAAAACATAAGTTATGGAACCTAGCCAGCTAACACAATTCACCAGTGGGGTAAGGATAAGACGCCCAATTCCACGACCTTCGACCCGGCCCAGCCATTTAGCCCCCAGAGCGCCCAAACACCTGGTGGCTTTCCCGGCACACCGACATACTACCCCCAGTACGGTGGTAAGTTGCTCTGTGTGGTTAGCTTGAAAGTGAGAGATACTGACGACGAGGCTGCTCGCTTTTAGCTCAATACGGCGGCCAGCAAGGAAATTTCGCTGCTCCCCAAACTGGCTCGCCTGCCGGGTTCCCTGGGTCTCCAATGGGCTACAACGCTCCCCAGAGTGCCGGTGGTTTTGGTCGTGGTCAACAGCCCCCCCAAGGCCAGTGGACTCAGCAGCCCCCTCCAGGTCAGAACTTCAATAACGGATTCGGTGGCTATCAATCATAGGATAAGGAAGCATCGAATAGGCCCTCAAAGCCGAGACGCCAAATTCTCAGCAGGATATAAGGCCAGGGTGATTTGGAAGTGTGTTACGATTGAAACAGCCGTCCTCCCTTCTCTTTCTTTTTTGACAAATCCATGACTGCTTTTTTCTCTCTCTCTCTCTCTCTGTGTTTCACTGTTCTTGGTCATTGCGCTCGGGTTTCTAGTATTTCGTCCGGGCCGTGTTTCCTACGCTCCCATCAACAGTATTTCTTTCTATTCAATCTCTCTTCTCAGTGATTCCAATTTTGTCTTGTTTCTGGGTTTCTTGCCTTGGCGCAGCTGTGCATCTCTGGTACGTTCTTTAGTCGGATTATTGATTTGGACGTTGCACAACTGGAGTATTAGCCATAAGATACCCTTTCTCTTTTTCCAGTCTGGTTGAGTCTTCCTGTTTTCTGCCTGTCTTTAGGCTCCTAACGAGGTCACGACTTTTGCATTCACGAAGAGAAATCTGCACTTGATGCTTGGATTCTTCGTCTCACATATCTGGGTGGAGGCGGATGTGTGGTCGGTATGGTTGGATGGGTTCTGGGGGAGAAAAGGAACCCTGTGTTCGTATTCATGATACGGTGATTGGTAAATCAAGGAAAGTTTTTGACGGCAAAGAAGAATTTTGCGACGAGAGGTGAAAAGAACGTGCATGGGCACCAGACATTCCGATGAGAGGATACCTAGACTTGCCGTGTTGTCTTTCATTAGACATGATGCTTTATGCCACTGTGGGCTATGCATGTCACAATCATTTGATGGTTGGAGGGATGATGAATGTCGAGAAGGAAAGTTTGTGCTAGGTGGATCATACTAGCTCCGAGTATGAAAACAAGCTCTCCTACATGCTGTGTGTTCGCTATGATATACGTGCCATTTGCGAAATGCTGAAAATAAAACTGCTACCAAAACCGATAGTCTACATTGGTATATATCTGTGTATAAGCAGGTAGGTTTAGGTATAAGCGGCTGGACTAACTGATGTCCTTCCCCACCCACCACTCATTGCAAGCCACGTTGACTGGTGTCAGAATGAGCCGATCAGAGGGTGAGGGAGCGCGGGCAGCAATGATTTTGCCACTGACCAGTGCTTGCTGGATGATGTGATTGGAAATTTGTTGTTTTTGAAGGGGCTATCACATCATCGGCACACGCGGCGTACTTGTTGTTGCGGCCGTCTGCCAGCTCAGGAATAGGTAATACTGGGAAAGGAGGGGAAGGATACGAGGACTAATAATTTGCATTCCGAGCCCAATGAGCCTGCGAGGTAAGAGGGCCCTGGATAAAAAAGACGGTGGTGGCACTCTGTTATGATTGGCTGCTGATTAGTAGAGCTTGGGTTTTGCCAAGTTTGTTGTGAAGCTGTGGGTGCTCAACGGCCCGCAGTGATCATTCCACGGTTGAATGAAGAAGGGATACTGAGACGGATAGGATAGTAAGGGGGCGAACCCGAGTCAGATGTGTTCGGGCGAACACATAGGCATTTTCCAATAAATTCATCGCCTAAGAATTGGAAGGGGGATGGCAGGCAGGCGGCAGTAATAATGGGGATAATTAAACCGTTCGCCCAAGGAGCTGAGAC